ACCGAGAATAATTTTTATTTAAATGATTACATTAATTATAGTAACAAAAACATTTAGGAAATAATGTTACTAATTTTTACTATTACTATTTACTAATTTCTACTATAAACCAGACATAAATTGTATAATAACACTTAATAGTCCAATATTATTAAATTTAACTGCAGTAAATGTATTTTTTGTGAAATTACAATTGTTTTAGAAATGTAACATTTTTTTGCACAAAAAGTAGGACCCATAGTAATTTTTTGCGAGGTATTTTTTCCGTGTAGTAAATCGAGTGCAAGAAATTCGAATTAACCTCCAGTTTACGGAACCAAAAATTTTTTTAACGAATTTCCTTTAATGAATACGTTATTTGTTTTATGTGATGTAAGGGAAAAACTTGATGATCTGTTTTATTTTCAAATTTTTAATTAACAAAATAGCGATTGTACCTACACTCCGATTTGGGTTTTCAAGGGTTCAAATAGTAAAAACGTATCATCTCGTTGGGATACAATTTGGGCGAGCCATTTTATCAGCAACGTCCATTAGCAGATCTATCTTTTCAACGGGACCGAAGCGTCGTTCCGTGAAACGGATTCAAATGTAATCTGTTGGTGTTAGCGTGTGTGTCAAAGTAGCAAAGTTTGATTAAACAGCGAATAAAAGGATAACGAGGGTATACGTTACTCCGCGAAAAAGTTAATAGATAAAAGGCGGCTTTTAGGAAAACAAACATTTCTGTCAAGGCGGTGCATAAATTTGTTAAAAATATTATTGTTGTTATTAACGAAATGTAAGACGAGGACAAATTATCAGTTATCCAAAAATTTAAAGAAATCACTGCTCCAAGGCAAATTACATAAAAAAGCAACGGTGCCAAATATATGCAGATATACAATTCGGGACGATACCCCTATTCTGTGTCAACCTGAATTAATGCCCTATTCGTTGCCACCCTTAGCGTTAGTATATGCGTATCCTTTGATTAAAATGCACCGGCTGTTTAAAAAGCAATTGTTTTCGTAATTAATTATGCAGGTATTTAACGCTCGTCGCCGCAGCACTTGGGAAGAATCGTAGTTCCGACTTCCGTTAATTAAATTTTGCATATCAAAGATACAAAACATCCCCAGTCGGGGTGTTCGGATCCTCCTCAGTCCTCGCATTCAGTACAAACGGGGCGGGGTTCTTTCAGATTAAGGTAGAAATTGTGGAATTGGGTGGACCATGACGGCCTTGAAATTTTAAGACTAGGTACCAGTTTCGAAATATCGCGCTCCTGACAATATTTCGTTCAACTGAATTGTCCATCGGTGTTACCTTCATAAAAGCATTTTTTTAATTTTGGTTGCTCTGTGCATATACTTTAATACATTAATAGTGACTAGTGATTAGCGAGTCAAAACAAATTTTCAAAATTTTTACTTCTCTTTCCAAAGGTCCCCGGGCTTCAGTGATTTTTTTTTGGCAATCCCACTCTTCAGCTCTTTTAATTTGGTTCACCTTCTTTAATTTGAGCTATTTAAGAGCTTCGTACGCTGATCTGTCGATGATTATCTTCGTTCAAAACAAAAACGACCTTTTTGGCGGTTTGATTCGTACAGAAAATTTAATCAGCCTTTCGAAAACTTCAAAGCATCCTCTATAAGATGTTCTTATCGTTTTTTTGATAAAAAAATTTCCATGTAAGCGAATGATTGGAATTCACTGTTGCTAAAAATCAATTAAAAGTTAAATTTTCCCTCAATTTATTTTTTTTTTAAATTACTTTGCGACCATTTTTCGCCAGGCCCTTTGAAAATCACCTAAAAATCTAGGACTTCTTTAATTTTTTTAATTTTTGTGACTAGTTTAGTTGAAAATTGAAATTCACTTTTCTCTGGCACGAGAACAGCACAAAAACGTGTCAAAAAACAAAATACTATTTTATGTATTTATCTTCGGCATTACTTTTTTTAGCAAGCACAATTATTTCACTAAACTAACTTGATCTAAATCGGTTACTTGAATTTACCTTGATTTTTCTAACAAATATATCTGGTATTTTCCAACGGGAAGCTCCGTACACTATCGACGTCACCAGCGGGTCCCAATAATACCTTCAATTTATGCAGCGTGCACGGTATGAATTGACTTTTGACGTCCGCTTGAGAAAGTTTGAATTCCTTTGTGGAAGCAGAGGGTACATCACTTAGACGACGTAACTTTGAAGTCGACGTCGTTATCTTTACGCCACTCGATACCGGTAATAATGATTCAACGAGGGCAAAATGTATCAGTGGGAGGACGACTGTGTCACCCCTTTTATTTATAAAAAAAAAGAAGGCACCCGTTTTGTGATATTCGTTTACAGTGTAATACGCATGTGTTTAAATATTTTAGAGGCCTTAACACTTGAAACGTTGTTATTAGCTTTGAAAAACCTATTTTTATAATTGTGCTTTTTTCACTATACTTTCCATTATCGTGATATTTCGTCCAGTGAGAATAAATAAACGTAAAATATTCATTTACATATTACGATATTTATTTTACGAAACATTTTGGGTGCTTTGTGCGATTTCAATCAATAATTCACGCCGTTGGAGAAAATAAAAAAGAGCAGATTCAAACGGGATGATATTCTGACATAGCCCGACAAATACGTTTGATGTATGCTCCAAAGACTTTTGTAGAGATGTCGGTAGAGAGCCACTTGACAATCTCCGCTTTTACTGACAGTAGTGCCGACAGAGTTTGGATTACCCGTCGATATAATTGGATTGTGTCGTGTTTTTATTCTTGAAATAATAATAAAGCTTCGTACAGGGTGTGCCCGTCCAAAAATGCTGACGCTGCAATCCCCATTCATTATCTAAAAACAATGCAATGCAATAGAAAATATACATATGTTCGAATTTGTATTGACTATTCCGATTCTAATTATAAGTTATTAATTTTATTTCCTCAGAAACTATAATATGATGTAAAATATTCATTTGACTAAAATCATAAAATGATATATGTCCATTATAATACTCCACGTGTTTTGTAGTGAAATGAAATTTGAAGGTATAAAAACGATAAATATGAATAATTTTAACCACACTTTATCTAAAATAGTTTATCTTGTAAAGTTTTGGTCACATTTTGCAAATCACTCGTAGACGTAACGGTTTGTCATTGTTCATTGTAAACGAGTCATTAATATTGGCAACGCCAAGATTTAGGGATTTTTTGTTGCTGTTGCCTAAGCTTGGTGGTCACGTGGCTTGTAAACATTTATGAAGGCCCTGTATCTGTGTTCGCTTCCCTTCTAGTACACAGAAATCAATTAAATTCTAATTGGTATATATCAAAATCAACGACTTTCGTTTTATATTTATTTTTCTTAGATTTTAAAATAACATATTTTTTTTTAATTGTACATTTTTGTTACCTACCACTGGTCGAAGTGGTCGAAAAACACCGGACAAAATTATGGGTTTTCGAAAATAAATACAGGGTGTAAGAAGTTTGACTTACTTACTTCAGCATGAGATAGAGTAATCATAAATGAACAAAAAAGTTGTATATTACAGGAGAGTAAGATGAACAGTTTTCAAAATACAGCGAGTATTAATATTGGGGAGTTTCATCACAACGTGACAACAGCGCTTAACCTGCTGATGCACACCCCACGTGTGTACGCGGCAGACTTGTCCTACGGAAAAAATGTAAACAACTATTAATGTGAAACATGTAGTAAATTTCAAGACAATTGTTTTCCAGTTTTTAAACAAATAAAATAAAATGTATCGATTTTGTAGTACAAAGATAGCGTTGTGCTTAAATTTTAGCTGGAATTTTAGTAATTATGAATCATTTAAAACAGGAACTTAAATTTTAATCAAATTATGAATTTGAAAAATATGTAATTAAAGTACCCTTCATTCATGTCGTCCAAATAATCATACGTATTAAAAAATAATTTAGGTACTTACCACAAAGCAACATTCAGTAATTTTTAAACGCACAAGTACAAAACAAACTACAACATATGCTTAAAATGTCCACCACTATTTTCGATGCACGCCTCAAGAAACGAAAATAGTGATATGCAAAAAACACTCCGACACTGTCGAATCCAGATACCAACTGAATTGCGTGTTGGTGGATACCTTAGTTCCTCGTGTTAACCGCGCCATTGTCACATTGCTCGATATGAATTTTATCCAATTTTAAATTTATTACAACGCTAATTATTTTTTAGATTGAAGCATAAAGAAGTTCATTCAAGTTATATTTTATGGTATTCTATGCACGCAGTTATGTCAATATGCCTTAATTAATCGAATATTTGTACATCAAGTTGGAGATTTTGATAATTTTTTTTTCTCGGAAATGGTTGAGTTTAGGACCCATGTCATATAAGGTTTTTTTATTTATTTTAATGTATTCTGTCGTCTGTTAAAATTAAGGCAGTCAAACTTCTAACACCCTGTATATTAATTTGTTTTTGCTTTCAGTTAGTTGAATATGTGGTTAAATTTGGCAGATATCTGTGCCCACACCCTGTATGTACGAATATTTTCATTACTCTTATTTCTCACTATGAAATTATCATGTAGGCGTACTTATGTTGAAGATATAATATTAATAAAATCAGAGCAAAGTAATATACCGTTTGAAATACTATTATATTACAATTTGTTTGTAGAACGGAGATAAATATTACTTTTTGGAATAAAAACAACCAAGTTCCATATTTAAAAGTGAATACATTTCTGGAATTCATTTAATTTCTGTTAAAATCAGTCAAATATATGCAATTATATGGTACAGTTGTTTAATTTGCTATTTCGATAGATTAGTATATAAATTGTACACCAGATGGTGCTGTAGCTCTAAAAAAATATATTGGAACGGGTATGCAACTAAACATACACGTACTTGTACAACTGGTTGCAAACTTTCAAATATCTCGTACTTATCTTTTTGCTCGAATATGAAGTTTAGGTAAAGGTGATGGGTCTTGAAATAAAAAGCCTATATATAATAAATAATATAATGCTATTACGTACCACTTATACAGTGTTGGTTGGATTGAATCATTGAATTATTATTGTGCCTTATTTTTTACATAATTCTCTGTGAAATGTACAATTTTATCTTTTTAAGCTTTGAATTGTTATTCTTGAAAAATAAAAAGCCGTCTAATAAGTACAATTTTATAACTCTGTTTTGCAGTATAATTCAGTGGCATAAAGCACAATAATAAATATCACAAAAATTGACGTTCGTCATTACACCACCATAATACTTTTATTAATTTTGAGTAATAATTTATTGTACAATATACTATATATATAGAATAATCCAGTCTAGTATCAACTTAAAAATAACTATACATAATATAACAAGCATAGAAAAATTAAAATTTGTACTAAAATAGCGTTTACCAAGGCACAACGACATTTCACTTAATACCTTAACAACAAGCCCCGTGGATAACAAATTCTTTGCTTAGTAAACGCAGTTAAAAAAAATGCTCAGTATCTTAACCTTCATGAATTTACAAATAACTCTTTTCTCTTAATAATTACAACTTTGGTCAATATATTTTCTGATATAAGAAAATAATGTGGATATGTCATTCAACAAGATTAATTTGGTAATTAGTAAATATATGGATTACGATTAAAAAAAATCACATGTATAGTAAATAATTACAGTCATATGAGCGTGTTTCAACTACCATGAAGCGGCAATCAATAAAATAAAAATAAAATATTTGAGAAACAATTGAATTTGCTTATTAGGCAGATGAAACATAGTTCTTGTATAAAAATACATATGATTTTTAGCATTAGTGAAATGGAAGAAGCCACAAAAAATATTGTACAAATTACTTTCTAGCAAAAAAAAATTTTTAATTAAAACACCATTTTATGAACTTGATCCAAATCACCCATGTTCTCACAGTAAATAACTGAAGCAATGATAAATAAATATAAACGTATCTATTTTAAAATACACCGTGTGGAAGTGTTACACTTTGAGCAGCTCGAATATGTTTATTATTTGAGAATTCAACGATATTCTTTTAATTTGATTAGATTTACTCTGCGGACATAGATAAAAAATCAAAAAATAGTCAGCCCTGCGCCAAGAAATCGCAATTTTATTTGTAGTTCTACAGTAAACATTATAGAAAAATTTGTAGAAATACTGAAAGATTGACCCCAAAATTTCTAAAATTCCCTTAAAATCACGCTACAAATTAAAAGAACCGAAAGGCGGAACTGCTTAAAATGTAAAAAAAATTATCATCGAAAGGAAATTTTAAAACAGTATGTTACTTTGCAAACCAAATCAAGTAGCCGTTTTTGACATAATTTGATCAAACAGGAATGGGTAAGAGAAATTCAACACATTGCTTTAAAATCTCCCACATTTGTACAATTCGACTAACCTCTATATCAAATATTGTAGGAAAAATTACTATATTCATTGGCTGAGCACTACTCGTTCAACCTATCTTGACTTCTACTACTACTGCGAGAACTTTTGCGGTGCAAATTTTCTAAATAAGCAGCTGGGGCCCACCCCTCCACCGAATTGCCTGGAAAAAATATCCTATCCTGAAAACGGGCGAGCGACAAACAGTACAATTTACTCACCGATAACTTTAACAAACCACCATCCTGCACAGCCAACCTTAAGTAATTCAACAATGTCCCCTTCCCTCATGTTTACCTCGCTGTTGCCAACCGCACAATAATCAGCTAAAGCAACGTAATGACCTCTCTGTAAAATTTTCAACATGTTAAGTCGCTGAATTTGCTGGGTTTTCTTACAAGCCAATTACATCGGGGGCTCACAAAACAATTAGAGATACCAAAAAAGCATTTACAAGGTTTCTGTACAATATTTACATAAACTATGTTGCACTGAATTTATGTACATGTAGAAAATAGAGACCAATCTTTTTTTAAATACAAATTTTGCTCTGAATAGTTGACAAAAAGCAAGAAGCATGGAAGTTAGCAAAAGCAATATTTTTTTCAAATACTTTGTAACAATTTTCGTACGCTGCCTCCTGAATGCATATTTCATTATTTTTTTTACAAAAGGCAGTGAATAATAGCAAAAATCAAAGACGACTGTAAAGAAAAGAAAGAAGCTATGATTCGTGAATTTAAATCAAAGAATTAAAAATAAAAACAATTCAGGGCGCCGTGAAGAATTTAAATAAAAACAGGGTACTATAAATATAAAACATAAAAGTAAATTTAACTTACTAGAATTAAATAAAGAATGGAACAGCTGAGAATTAGTAATGCGTAACATAAAATGTTGTTGTATTTGCAGTACTGCCAACAATATACTGAACGACACGATCAAGAACTGTGCTCTGACCCTTCACCACACCACTCCACTGCAATGAATTTACATAAAACTACTAACATTCCTCATTCCGTCGAGCACAAACAACTCAAACTTCAAATACGTCAAATCTTAAAAAGGCTCTGAAATTCATTTGTTTTATGCCCGACATCGATAAAATACAGGGTTTCCCATAAGTAACGGTACATAGAGCAACAACGGATTCTACATACTAAAATTTTATGATTTAACCGAACTTACCTTAGTCCAAAAGTTGGTCCTTAAAAATATAGAGGGTATCAAAGTGAAAAATTTGTTTTCAATATTTTAAAATAATCTTTACAAAATTACAGATATTGCACAATTATTGGGGATCGGAAGTGATTTCCATTTATTTTGAAACTTTAAAGGTGAATATATACCGAGGAGCAAAAAAATAACGAAGTTGTTAAGACATGCAATGTGTCGCAAGTGGTTCCCTCTAATAAATAACAGCAAAATTATGATCGGATTTGAGTTCGTGCCTCAAAGAATCTCCAATCCCCAAAGGAGGAGGGCCCCTAAGGCCGGTTTTTGGCCTAATTTATTTTTGACTGAAAAAATCTTTTTAATACCTACTAGCAATACTGAATCGTTTCCACCCTAAACGGACCAACCCCCTCACCCTCCTTTCCCCCTCCACCTACAGAAATGAGATGACACACATTTACATTGAATAAAACGAAAAAGAAAAAATCAACAATTATACATACATATTTGTGCATATTTGATTAGCCACTTTGAATTTTGTGATTTTGAACTCATAATTGTAATCAGTGATCTAAGAAAGTTTCGATAAACAAATATTTGAGGATTATGAAGATTTTTTTAATTTTTTATCCGCCATATGGAATACGTCATTTTAAATTTCGTAATTCTGCCTTCAGATTCGTAATCAGAGACCCAAAAAACCCCACTACACAAAAATTCATGCATTTTAGACATTTTAATTTTTTTGTCCGCCATATTGAATCCGCCATTTTGAATTTCGTGATCTAGTCCAGATTAGTAATCATAGACCCAAAAAACCTCAACACAAAAAAATTCATGCATTTTGAAGACATTTCAATTTTCTTGTCCGCCATTTGGATCCGCCATTTTGAATTTCGTGATTCTGAGACGAGATTCGTGATCAGCGACCCAAAAAACTCTTCATATGTAAGATTTATAGGAATTGGATGTTTTTTGCATCTCTAAGCTCTTTAAAGACCCCTCTAATGAGCGATGGTTTCCCCGGCATTTAAGGGGGTGGAGGGGGAAAGGAGGGTGAGGGGGTAGGCACTAAAAAAATTTTTTCAGATTTTTTCTGCCAAAAATAAATTAGGCCTAAAACCGGCCTTCGGGGCCCTCCTACTTTGTGCAATATTTTTAATATTGGAAAGGTTATTTAAAAATAGGTTGGTTAAATCGTAATATTTTAGTGTGCTCCACGTACCATTATTTATGGTGCACCCTGTACATAAACTTTATATATACAAATTTCTTTTTATTACACCAAAAGAATATTGATAATTACAACCAGCTTATTAGATACTTCTTTATAAAACTAATTTTAATAATAATCTCATTCCATATCAAAAGTGAGGTAAAAAAAATTAAATACACTACAAGCAACGAAACTTTTTTAACTATTGATATTGCTTTTCTGTATAACATAAAAATATTCAATTTGACATGGAACGATCAATTTAAATGGAACAAAAAACCCAGGTAATATACCCCAGAAAAGAAATCCTTAGGTGAGAAACTTTTACAAAAAAATCGTCAACGATAAGTTACTGTGGTGGACAAGCTTTATACATACCGGTACGGCCGTATTCGGATGATCTTCGTCATCACTATTACTACAATCTGAAGACCAGTTACCGGTTTCCAAACACTCGACAGCTTCTTCTTCGACTACGTGGTGCGTGGGCTCCGCCTCGCAACTAAGAGCCCTATGGCTATCTATAATTGGCACTATTGGCACAGAATTCTTCTGTTTCTCCCATGACGTCGTTTGACGCAGAGACCTAGGAAAATTTATGTTACGGTACGGATATACCAAATTTTTTTAAAAAATGTCTCACTTGTGAGTTAGAGCTGCGTACTGTTTAATCTTCTCCCCCTTGATCTCCTCCAACTGGTTGAACAGCACCCTCTTTATTTCGTTCACCCAAGCGTTCTTCTGTTCCAAATTGGCGGCTTGTATCATATGCACCTCCTGTCTGCCCTGCAGCCAGACTTCGAACTTCCTCGCGTCACCCTTCACAGATTCCGTTAAGCCAATCTGGGACATTTTCAAGTAGTGTTTGAATTGGTATGTCGCTTTGTTCTCGGCGGCCTTGGAGACGGGTTTACAAAACAACAAGGCCTTTTGGTACAGGAACAAGTGGCGTCGCATGGGCTTGAGGCGTAATCTCAAATCTTTCTTGTTTTCTACCCACACGGAGAACGAACCTTGCAACAGTAATTCGCCCTGCTGGGATAGATCCACGGGGAACCCGGTTATGGATATTTGGTGCATGCTGTCGTTAACACATTTCAAGACGACGAGCATGCATTCCAAAGCTTGTTGCAGCTCTTTGCAACATTTTCCTTCGTCTGAATATCGTAGTAGATCCCTTAGAAGTAGTTGGTACTTTGTTATGCGCTGTACGGGTTTTAGCAAGTAAGCAGCTAGCGGTAGTTTGTGGCCCAGTTTGTGTTGGCAGGCTTGGAAAAATTGGTGGAGTTCCACCGAGGTCTCCCTAAGGTGTTCGGACCTCGAGATGTTCTGGCAGTAGAAGCTGTAGAGTCGAAAAAATTTATCTCTCTGAAAATTTTCAAGTTACTTTCTGCGCGTACACTTATAACTGATTACCTTTTGCACAAAACACAGAGCCACTAGGTCTGTAGACGATATGCAATTTTCTAGGTCCCTGAGAAAGGTGTCTGAGTGGAACTGGTAGATTTCTTCCAAGTTTCCAAAGATCACGTCGAACTTTTCTTCAGTTCCTTGCGGTATCAAGTGTCGCATATCGTCATTGTGAGCTTCCAATTTGTAACCCTAAAATAACCTCTTAAGAGTATCAGAATTACAGTATCATTTGCTTTTTACTTTAAAAAAATAAAATTTTTGACGAGCATTATAATTGCAGAAAAATTAAATATATTTCTTATCACGCCCTGTATATATGAAAATTAATGCTTATTAAATATGTCTAGAGTTCTACAAATGGTACAAAAATGATACAAGCTTGTTGAAATACAGAGTGTAGAGATATAACAATTTGAAAAAAAAAAAACGAAAATATGAACGATAAAAATTATTATTAAAATATTTTCTGCTGAAAAAAACACTATTTTTCAAATTTATTTAAAAGATCTTCAGATTCCATGTCTGGTGCTTCTCATTCCTTTTCTTGGTCATTATAAACATATTTGGAAACAGTGTCAAAAATCGAAAATGGTCTGATGATGTTTTTATTAAAATAATTTAATTTCAGATCATTTATTATATTGACAAGCATAGTAGCTTTGTTCCTAGATTTTAACAATATGTAGTTCAACAAATTATCTGTATAATAATTGTCACAAAGCAATCTATTTCTTAGCGTTTAAGAAATATCTTAAAACGGCGACAAAAAAATGATTCATACATTTTATGCAAACGCGATAAATTATGGCAAGTACTTACATTGATAATAGATAACAGTTCCGATACATACACTCTTTCGGTCTCGAAAAGTTCAGTTAGAACATGCCTTGTTTTGATTTTATTAACTTCGTCTGTTTCTGGTAAAACGGTCTTTTCCTCGTGTTGCACAAAATTCGGGTTCTGGTCATTATCCAACGGCGAAGTCATCTACAAAACCAAATAGATACACTTCACTTTAACAAGTCTAGACGTAGGTATTCGAACACAAGAAATTGCATTCTTTATATTTAGAACACAAAGCTGATTTTAAATTATAATTTTTGTCCTGAAACCTCCTCGACATTTACATAAATTTCATTGAAAACATACAAACGAATAAAAAAATCCATTGTAGAATCCATAATCGTTAAACTCGGAAACAAAAACTGGGAAATACTTTTCAACATCCCAAAATTCGTCCATATCCAAAAACACACTGAGGTTTGATACAGAATACATCATATTATTGTTAATCAGTATAAGAAAGGTTAATTCGAAGCAGAACGGGTTTTGGAGATGGAATGTTTCATATTAAATAACTGGACCCCGTCTTTAACATATTTAGAATTATTTTACGGTTTACCGAATTGGAAAAAGTTGTGTGAATGGTAATATAGCTATAAATTAGCGGCCACCGTATTGGAAACGGTAGCTTATACAAGGAGCGTTCGGTATATCGAAGAAATGTCAGGTCAAATTCACCAAGCCAGTCATTGAAGGTAAAATACGGCGTTACTGTATAACAGAACTGCGTAATTACTTGTAATTTAAAAATAGTTACAATTACAAATTACTTTTTTAAAAAAAGGAACTAATTACAATTACAAAGTATATTCTTTAAAAAAGGAATTATATTAATTTAATTACAGTTACATGGAAAATGGATTTAGCAATTACTTTTATGATAAAGTAAATTATAGTGACCAAACAGAGAAAAAGGAAAAAGTTAAGTTAAAAATTTTAATTAAAAGTGTTGTGTAATATTGCGTTTTATTATTTATTAGAATTGATACTAAAATGAAAAGATTATTCTTATTCATTTTCTGATATAGAATTTTTATATTTTTATTCCTAATCTAATAATTTAAACTAGTTCAGTTCATACTATAATTTTATATTATTGGTCAGGTAATTAATTCAACCCGATGCTCTTTTTTTGTTGTTAGTACATTTGCAAAATATAGAATACAGTAGTTTTGGGTAGACTGGAAAGCAATAATTATTATTAAAAAAATTACGAATCGAACAAGTACGAGTGAAAGGCTGAGTAACCGAACCAGAAGTTTTCTCAACTCAAAATAAGAGCAGTAACACAACATATTTTTACTTCGTATATTTTCTAAATTAATAATAATTATAATAAAATAAAATGTACTCCGTTAATTCTGAGGTTAATTCACCAAATCACTTTTTATTGTTCACGCGGCACAAGGCTTTCCTCAAATGAAATAATAGAAGTCTGCAAGTCTGTAAGCAATTACGCAATACGCATGATCTTAAAAGTAATTATAATTATTCGAAAAAGTAATTGTAATTGGAAAAAGTATTTGTACTTATAGAAGTAATTTGTAATTCAATAGTTCAAATAATATAATTACAAATTACAATTCCTATAACAATTTTGCTGCAATTACAATTCCAAATTACTTTAATAAAAAAAAAGTACTTAAATACAATTACAATTACAGGAAAAAAAGGGAATTGTAATTGCTAATTACTTTTTCACCAGGAATTACCCAGCTCTGCTGTATAATTTTCCCAAACAGCACCCATTTGCACCAAAATTTGGATTTAGGTTCTACTTATCTTCTACTTCAAAGTTTTTATTTTTTAGGGGGTGAAAACTACCCCTATTCGAAAATAATTAAAGAATTGTAAATTCGAGCGTGTAATAGGTTAAAATCATCTTTAAATAAGTAACTATGATGAATTGAAAATTGTCAATCCCTAAAAACCACCCCCTATGACAGTAATCATTAAAAAATAATGTTGAAAAATATTATTCAGTAACTTGGAATAATTTAATCATATGCTGATATTAAATTAAGATTTCTTTACTGTTTTAATTTTTTATTATTTATTTATAAGTTTCAACCCAAAAAATCGAACAGTTAAAGTTAAAAAATTTTTTTATATATATAATAAAGTAAATTGTAAAGTGGTAACGATTATTTTCAATTGGGGGTGGTAATTAGGGGCTGATTTTCACGTTTTTTGTAGCCGAAAAAATACGGACCAACTTTATTTTCGTCATCTCTCTTCGGTTTGATGCTAGAAACTTTTATAAAAAATAAAAATTCAAGCTCTTTAAAAAAGATAGTACGAGTATTCCCTGAAAAATGCATTGGTTTTTGGTTATTTCACGTTCAAACTTTCAATTTTGGCGTTTGACGAATAAGAACCAACCTTCAATAAGCTATTACTCCGCTTGTATTGGGTCAACAGACACCCCTATTTTAATGTCTTATTTACAAATTTCGTCCAAGATTTTTTGATTACGAATGCGTCCCATGCTTCTGTATAAAAATATGGTCACTTCAGTATTCAACGGGCCCCGTTGGTTAAAATTTATTATAAAATTATCGACAAATATAATTTTGATACACTCGCGAAATAATTTTATCGGAATTGGAGATTACAATACAATTTTTGATTGCTACCCGTATATATTGCGATGTGCGAGCGTAACCTTTCACTTGACACCAACACGCAAAAGACTATAGTCGATCATTCCAAACATATCAAGAAAGATTTCTACAAAAGCAATTTATTTTTATGGTAAAATCTCTCTAGCGCTGCATTTCAGTAATTTTGGTAGGCTGGAAGTATTTTTAAATGAATCATTGTTGCTTGATAAAATGCCTATTGGATAGTAATAATTTGTCCTTACACTTTATGAAATTTTTCTAGAATAATCCGCGAATAACTAACAAATTCAATTATTACATTTGCTATGAATATAAAAGGTAAATATCTCGGTAAAAAAATAAATATATTTATGTCTGTTTAAAAAAAAAATAAAAAATTTAAAAACTTGCCTTGGGAATTGTGGAAGCCTTCTTCAGAACAGCCCTCGAGGGTTGTGGAGCTCCAATTTGTGGCTGCCTGGGCACTGCTGGTTCAGGAATAACAGTTTGCACGGGCCGTTTGGGTTTTGAAGCCAATTTATTTAAACTAGTAATATGCTTATTGCACATAAGACTAACATCCTCAATCCTTTGAAGCACCTAAATACTTGTACATAAATAATAAAAATCGCAATTAATTAAGCCAAATACCTGGGAGACAAGGGCTTTTGTTTCCGGTGTGGTAGCACATTGAAATGTATCTTTAAAATCCTTGGGACCATTTAAAGAGAACTCTTTGGAAGATGCAAGGAAGTCCTGCGTTTCTTTTAAGTATTTCTCTGCCAGTTCCGGAGAAGCTGAACATTGTTCAATTCTCTGGGATGCCAAAAGGTCTATACCACTGGCACACCACTGATTGGCCTGGAAAACCGATAATTTTTTAATAAGCGCTTCTAACAGTGCGGTGAAAATATTCACTTTTTCTTAATAACAGACGCGTTACAACTAAAGTCTAGCTCATAATTAACATTAACGGGGGAAAAAATTATCATCGCTGCGGATGTAGATATGCAGTCCCTGTCAGTGCAGTCCACCAAACAAATAAAACAATAACAAAAAGGATTCAATTTGCTAACCAAAACATTGAACCACGAGTTCATTTACTCTGTCGCGATTTCTCTCTAGCCCAAGTTATGCGTATCTATCTCACTTTCTTCAACTTAAGTGTCATAAAGTGAATCCGTCTAGGCGATTTTTCACGAGTGGAATAAGGGTTAACACTTACCTTTTCAACTTTCTTCATTAATTCTCTACATTTAATTAATACGTCCATTCGCCTTGAAAGGCGCTCTAACAATAAATCTCTCATTCTAAGAAGTTCACTACATTTAGGTTCTACGGATTCTAAAGGGCACGAATTTTTTATATTGATCAAATGCTGACCAGACGAAATAACTTCTTCTGCTCTTTCTATATCTACATTACACAATTTTTGGAAAGTATTAGTTTCTTTAATTAGAGTGTCTACCCTGTTCACAGTCTCCCCTACTTCCGTCATTTCAGACACAGTCTTTAAATAAGAATCAAAATTCACTTGTAATTCTCTAAAGTCTTGTTCAAATCGACGGAGCTCTAAACAGTTACGCAGTTTGGTAGAATGCTGTTGCCAGAACTCGTCGAAAGTCTTTTCAGTTTCTTCTAGTTGTACAAGTAGTCGTTCTACAGCAAATACGTTACTAATAGTGTCCGAACTTTGAGCAAATTTACCATCACTAGAAGACGACATATTTTTATCTTTTATGCTACACAATAAATTTTCCCCGTGTTTAGCTGCCGACAGGATTTCTTCTTTCAAATCCGAATAAGTTTCAGTCTGTTTATTTAGCAACTGCTGAGTAGAATCGACATTATTTGGCAACTCGGTTTCCTCAATAGATTTTGTAAACTCGTCTAAAGCACTAGAAACTTGTTGTGTTATAGTCGAAAACTTCTCCAACTCGACTCTTTGTTCTATCCATTCCTCGTGATTATACTGTAAAGTGCCACCCAGATCCGGAGTTAGTTGTTTCAAACTAATATACTTATGTAGCTCCTCAGCCGTGCTCAGTACTATCATACGAAATTTAAACTCGTCCTTAAATAACTTGTTGCTGACTTCTGATAAAGCTTTCTGTAAAAAACTGGCAGGCCTTAAGACGTATACGACATGAATTAGGCCTGGAAAATAAACCTGGAAAGAAAACAGTTCTGACGTCATTCTCCGTCAAGGTATATCGGTTAAGTTGTGAAAAATGTCCTAATTATAACCTACAAATTCTCAACGGAGTCGGAAACTTACTGAAATTTTTAGAAGAACGGTTTTAACGGAGTTCCACCTGTCCGTTCTCCTATCTATAATTAAATGGAAGCCCAAATCTGCATCTTGGAGTCTGAAAAACATATCATAAGTAGCCCGATTAAAATAAAGGTTAAAAGTTCTTACGAAGGCACTGACGTTAAATACATCATTAAACGTTGGTAGTCTACATCAGATATCATTTGAAAATTATTGTTGTCGGGGAATGTAATAATTGGACAGCCTTCTTTTGATTTACCACCTGAGATAATGGCATATTGGTGTTGTAAAAGCTCTGCAACGTCATTTACCCCCAGCGGTTCTAAATTGACAGAATTTTGCATTTCGAATTCTTCACATACATTGAGAGGCTCCTCTGAAACGAAAAGACATCTTATGTGATGTTAACAATTTTAAAAACAAAATAATGAGTACTATCGCTAGGCCCTTGCCTCCAGAAATGAATTTAGTCGTTTAAACTGAAAGATGACTGGTATGTAAGCTGAAAATATGTGTCTACTGCTACTAGGTATGCTATCTTGATAGTAATGACTTACTTTTAAAAATAACATTAAATGTTTCCATGACGAGTCTCCTTGTAATCAACTTTATCTAAGTTAAAAAATTCATTAGTAAGGCATATTCCTTTGTGCTCAATTTATTTAATGTAAGCATTCTGGGTAGTAAGCGTAAAAATGTGGAATTACTAGAAAGTGTTTTAAAGTATTAATAAATAAAAATCTTTATAGTTATAAACATATTTATTAAAAAAGTACTCTATCACATCTTTAAATATAAAGAATATTCACAACACCTCTAAAACAATTCTGGAAGAAAAGGCTTACAAAATTCACCCTAAATATGAATTTTATATGCATTTTCTGATTGTTTGAGAAATGCATTTTTTTACTATTTTATCATTTTTTATTACATATATATTTATAAAAAAAAAACAAATAAAAAATATGGTATGCTTTGTTTCTTTACGTTTAGTATATAGTACTTTATAGTAAAATTCTTAGCCTGAATTATTATAAAATTATTTCTTCAAATTTGGAAAATTCTGGGATCAAAATTAACACGAGTTCTGGGTAATCGAATTTAACTAATTTAGCTAATCCATACAGCTGTAGTACAAGATTAAACTAAGATAAATGTTACTGAAAGGAACTTAAGACTATATTAACCAAGAATCTGCAGAAAATTTTAATTGTTACCATAATAAAAATATATCAAGTTAAATTTTCAGAAAATTACAAATCGACGGTTGGAAAACATGCTATCTCAAATTAAGCTTGGAAAATATGCTAGCTCAAATCTTTAAGTAAAAACAAGCTATCTCAGCTTGACTAGAAATTTAAGTTCACATTGAATGATTGAAACCGTGCATTTATAATAAACTTACATATTTTTCAAAAAGTGAGGAATATTTATGTTCAGGTACACTGTTTATTTTATTTTTTTTATTCAACATTACTTTACCTGATTTATAGTCACTACTCTTACTTTTATTAATAGAGTTAACATAATAAACAGAACAGTGCTGGATTTAGGCATAGGCAGACTAGGCACTGCCTATAGGCCCCCACCAATTTGAAAAATTTAAAATAAAATTAAAAAAAATTAAATTCAAACAAAAACTTTTTTTAAGTATCAATTAATTAATCAATCTAAAGTATTATTATTATTATTTTAGTACTAAAATTCATTATTATGCACTACACTTTATAATTAAATTAGTGGGAAAATATTCACTAATTTTTGTTAATTTGTAAATTTTTGTTCCTAGAGAAAATAAAATTTAAATTTCTTTGCAATGTTTAAATTATTCCTTTGAAAACAAGAGATTATTTATTTAATAAATTTGAGAGAAAATCTTGAAAGATGCATAAAAAATAATGTTTTTTTTTTTTTCAATCCCTTAACTAGGCCCCCACCAAATTTCTCCTATTGGCCTCACAAGCATAAATCCGGCGCTGAACCAGAATATAAATATAATGTATAAACTTGAATGATATGTATATATCGATGCGAAGGGCACATATGATATGCACGTGCACATTTCCGCGGTTCCCCATGCACACATGTTTATCATTAGCAGATCATAAAGTACCGGTAATAGAAGTGTCGCATACCTGCATTTCATTTCCAGTCTATGCAAGGACGCGGCTACCGTGTTTTGAAAAATGTTGAATAAAAAAAATAAAATAAACAGTGTACCTGAACATAAATATTCCTTACTTTTTGAAAAATATATTATACAAGTTTATTATAAATGCACGGTTTCAATCATTCAATGTGGCAACTTAAATTTCTAGTCAAACTGAGATAGCATATTTTTACTTAAAGATAATTTGAGATAGCATCTTTTCTAACCGAAATCTGAGAAAACATGTTTTCGTGCTAAAGCGTCGAAATATCCTATTTAAAAAAATGGCATCTTAGAATTAACAATAATTAAATTAAAATCTATTTAATTTTATTTAAATAAAGGTTCTTAATAAAAAATTGTTAACTGAATATTTCACCTTTAAAATAAATAAATATATGGATTGAACACTTACATTTTATCTTTATACAATTTGACGATAGAATTTTGATAATGAATGTAATTTTAATTTGTTTATTCCTATACAAAAAAAAAAAAAAAAAAATTTATCTTTATACAATTTGACGATAGAATTTTGATAATGAATGTAATTTTAATTTGTTTATTCCTATACAAAAAAAAAAAAAATAAAACTGAATTTTTAACTCGGAAAAAAGGTTTTCAAACCATAAAACTCAACTTATTTCCTGAACATTATAATATCGAATAGTCGGTACAATATTTAATCGAAGTTATAAAAAAATAAATAAATAAACACAATAAATATAAAAAAAAGTAAATATGAGCTTATCACAACCTAGAAAAACAAGTAACTGCCTGCTAGTTACATTCTACCAAAAGTATATGGGGTGTGATGCTGAGCATTAGCCATTGTAGTAACTATATTCCCCTGTTCGTTAATAACGTAACCAGTGTTTGTTAACTGATACGAAAATGTATTCGTAGCCGTATGATTTGTTGGATTCTGCGGGGTGACGATATTCCCGTTAGGCAGTAACTGAGGTACAGGTGTCACGAGAAAAGTCTGTTGGTGGTGTTGCGTTGCCGTATTATCGTTTGGTGGCGCCACTACTAACGGTATTACCTGTTGGACTTCGTTATTAATAACGCATTTTTGGACTTGCGGTACCTGCTGCTCCCTAACACGTTCGACGGTCTGTATTTGCTGGTTCTGTTGTTGAATTTGCTGTTGTTGTGGAGCAGTCTGATGCGTGCATGACTTCGGTTCGACTTTACAGAATTTCACATGCGGAAATTGTTCTTTCATGAAGTGCCGAAACGTAGAATATCCCATAAGTTTTATACCAGGTTCCAGGATTTGGCCATACTCCTTATATGCGTCGTGTAAGTTTTTCCGTGTAACATCCCATGGCAGCTGAATGGGTTGTTTAGTATTTACAATGTCCCTCTCTCCTGTGTGTTGTTCAAGGTACTGCTTCAAAAATTCTGTTGCGTGTCGATAAATATCGAGGGAAAACGTATTGTGTGGTTTTTTGCCGTAGTTCCCATGAACTCTAGGTGCAACGCCGTGCGTCATGACATGTTTTCGTATCCGCTTCAGCTGATAGTGGGTACAGTTCTCTAAGTAAAGGAAAGCGTCTAAACATACTCGCCTTCCTTGATAAACGTACTGTGCTCTAAGCCTGCGCCGTTCCTTATGGCGTACAGTCGTATCTGGATTCGCAAGGCAAGCCATCGTAACTCCCATTAAATACATATCGTGTTCACTTTTCGTAAGTTCAGCAATGTTAAGTCTGTGTTTATATACACTTTCCGGATTTAATCCTCGGAAGCAACTTTCGTCTTGGCACTCGCATCCTCTTTTAAACCTGTCTTTCACTTGAGCAGCACTTTCTTCTAATTTCGTTGGATCATTCGCAGGATTACTTTCGTTGGCTTTTTTCTTTTTTTTAACTGGGACTTTTTTCTTCGTGTTCTTTGGCGGAGTTTTTGATTTCCCATTTGGTGCAATGTTCTGCCTTTTCGGTGACTCTTCTCCGGTTTCCGATTCTTCTACGATGGGGTGACCCGTGTAGATCGTGTTTATGTTTGTTTCTGGGTCAACTATCGCATGACCCTCCCATATAACCTAAAATATAACAAAAATTAAACAAAACTACGGAACATGCAACTATGTGAAATATTATAAGTAGACTCTAAATGTCTACAACTACCTGCTGATCGTCCATGGCCTGAGAAAAGTGGCTGCTTGGATCAATTGCAGAAAATAATGAATGCGATATCGATACAGGTGTGTGCCATTGTATTTGGGAGTCTCCTTCTTGTCCATCGCTACCACCTGTCGGGTTCGATTGGAAAGAGTGCGAAGACGGTGACTGGTTTTCTCCATTTTCTTCTTGTTTCTCTATCCTCTCTACAGACAACAGTGTATGTAACACTTCGCTTGCCTCTTTTTCTGCCGAATCAACAGCAGCCATCTAAAATTAGAAAAATTACTTACTCTATTTATCTTATGTTCCACAAGACATGTCCAAGTTTTGTTTGTTGCAAATTGTAATTTTTTTAATCCATTACATTTTGGAAAACTAGTATTGTTAATATAATTTCATTGATCAAAATAATGGAATTTCTGTGGTCCAATAAAAGAATCATGGCTTTGTTTATAAATAAGTGACAAAGCAATAAAAACATTGGATAAGCACGTTTTAAGCGAAAAGAGTCTTTACTGGAATACATAAGAGCTCAATTTCGCTCGCTATGTACCTAGTCAGACAAAAGTGGCCCATATTGGCATCCATTACACGCAGAGCTGTCGTACCTTTTTCATAAATTTTCTGTGAGATCTTAATTAATTCACCGTCTACCAGTTTTGTTAGTAACAGTCCTTCCGAAACACATTGTTTAACACAGAAACCGTCCTGATTCAACTTATATATTCGTAATAATAACTGCACGAAATGTTTAACAATTTGGACGTCAGATACGCCATGTCTGGGCTTCGCTAAACTTCACCTTTGGCAATTTCGTTGGCAATGCGCGTGTGCGACAGTTCTGCGTTTGCGCTCAACGGGCATAGTACCGGCACCCATTCAAAATTTAAAACGCGATGTTGATTGTTCATTCACTATAATTACTATAAATTACGCACTTACCTGGAAAAACGTACTAATTCCTAAAAATTATAGTATTTATTAATACGAGAAACTTGTTTTACTTACCTTTCACGCTCACAAATACACTTGAATGGGATATTGTAAACGGTACTCGCTATTCCAAAATAGTAAGTAGGTACTATTTTTATACCCGTTATTGGAAATGTAACATTTAAGTACTAGCAACTGAAATAATAATTTTATGGTCATTATAATGCAGAATTTATTTCGAAAATAGGTAGTTACAATGTTCGGTGCGTGATAAACCTTGGAAAAAGCAGAAAAATCTGGAATATTTTTCTTAGGTAGGTATACCAAATTATTTTGTTCTGTAATTTTACTACATATTAAATTAGTTTTCGGGGAAATTGTGTATTTTTTTACTACCTACTATTATTTGCTTCTAATATATTGTTTATTTAATATTATAAGTACTGTAGGTTTTATAACAATAATAATTCTTCTTTTTCAACTGTGGAGAAAATAATTTTAAAGCAGGTATCAAAGAGTAACACATGAAAAGTTGGTGACATAAAGCATCTGCTCTTCTATATATTTTGTATTTAATCAATGGTTTGCTTAATAGATCAAATCGCTTTTTACTATTGTGACAGTCACACCGCAATACGCCTATATTTCTGCAAATGAAATGAATTAGCAAATCGCATGAAGATACTCACTTCATTATTGTCGATGAATGTGCAATGAGCCTCATTTTGTCACCTGCATAAGTTAGTTTACACAATTTTTATCACAAACAAAATACACTTTGTTCGAACTAACTGCAATTACACGGGTTTACAATATTTCAAGGTTTGTGATGAGAACTGGAATTAAATTGGTTACGAATGCACAAGTAAGCACAACAAACAACACTCGGCAATTACCAACACGGCGTAAATGAAATATAAACTCTTCCAAATCATTATTTGCATTAAAACTAGATCGAATTACGTTCGTAAGTTTTTAAAAGAAATTTCTCATCTAAATCGATTGATTCGAGAACTAATACTACACCGCTATAACCATTCTTTTTTTAAACGTTTGTATTCTACACTTACTTTCTAAATCTCAGCTTCAATATAGTATCCAGGGGTCAGCAGAGCTGTAACCACTACTAAATTTTCTCGTAATGATTTTTAAAACACATACCTGGCTGTGAGGCACATAGTTAAGTAATTTTTTTTATGTATTATCTAAACACATTCCACATTTGAACACTTAGTCTACGGAAAACCTAACCTTGCGCTGTTAAATATACTATATCATATTTATTTCCATGCTGTGGTTATTTATATTACGTAAAGCAAACGACTTTTTATACATATTGAATGTCATATCAGTTAAAGGTCGGTTTATATATCTCGGTCAGCGTTATCGTTAATCGCATAGCAGCGGTTAGGCTTTTGTTTTGAAATAAAAGGGACAGTACTCTAGATATACCGTACTATTAAAATAGCCCGCAAAAAATTTGTAAGAATTGCAGTGCCATTAAACCGAAAATAAATATTTTTTAATGTAAACAAAAATTTATATATTAACGATACTGCATAATCACATTATAATGAATCCTTTTTTTGTTTTAATGTTTGTTTAATACTGGATTGTTTATTGTATGGCGTACGATTATGAATTATTATCTTCCCACGGCGATAAGTTATTTTTTGTACTCACTTTTCAGCCATTGTTTCAGACATCCTACTTCTGGAGCAGCCTACTTAAACAATATTTTTACCAATACACTTTCTCTCAATTATAACTGTTATTATGCGAGTTATTCTGTAATAGCAATTCATAAGCGTATAAAACGAAATTAATATTTAAATGTCTGTGTTAAAAAATCATAACGCATTGGCCGAAATAGTGACATACCTATTAGATATTTTGTCTTACATTTAGCCAGTTGTTTACAAACTAAGCCGAATTTACAGTTACTAATACCAGCCAGAATACAGGACATGTTTTGAATATACAATTAAGAATTGATCGGCGTTCTGATATATCCCTAATTCTATTTTATTGATTCCAAATGTGCCGCCATCGATGTTGTGAAAGTAATGCTTGGAATGCAGTAAAAATATGTTTTTATTTTCTTACTTGCAAAATTTTCCATCCCACAAATAGAGTGATACAATTTCAAAATGCAAGCACATTATTTTCATTTTGCAAGTTGCACATACAGCAGTTGCGAACAACTCAACATTTTCAATTGTCATTAAAATATTCATAAACCGTACTAAATTGCATTTCTTGTGCTGCCTACTCATCGCTATGCCCACTTAATAAAATAAATAAATTAACCATAATTTTTTGTAGTCATTAGTAGTGCCTTAGAAAACAACAACAATAGGTAATGTAAACATTAAACAAAGTATCTACACAACACGGCTACAGACAATTTAGTAACTTTGCACAAAGGAATATCAGAATCGCGGACCCAATTCTTCCTCCCCTATTCAATCGAGAGTGTGTTGAGCTAAGACAAATGACTGTCGACTGTCTTAAAACGAACTGGGACACTAACTCAGTTTTGCAAATCGACAAATATAGACCTATATAATATTTTAATTTATATCTGATACAGGTTTAAACAAAGGGAACTGAAGTGTCTACCCTTCAACTCTATAGCTGGTCCCTCGGGTTTTCTATTATAAATCCACACAAAGGATTTCCGACCCTTTACATTCAGTAAATAAAATGAAATTCTCACCTATATATAGGGTATAAATAGAGCGTATAGGCACTGTCACAAGCAATATCACTTATAGTTATTCGACTACAACAATCGCAAAATGATATTAATAATAGCAAGTTACCTAGAAACCTTATCTCCTTTTCCATATTGATTTAATGATTTCTAATAACTCAAACACAAAGGCGATAAGGGCTTCAAACTATCATCATACTGTATATGCATGTATAGCCGAGAGGTATTTCTCACAAGACTCTAACTTGGCAACTGAGGAATAAAACCTGGATTTTCTTATTTTTGTTTATTATACTAACTAAATTAAGTAAACACTCAGTAGTAGAAAATCAAGAACTACCGTGGTGTGAAAAGTATATTCGTATACAAAATTGTTTAAATAAACGCAGGGGTTACCTAAGTGCCTTTTAAATATTTGTTATTGGAAATGGCTCACGTGGAGGCAAATGGTCAATATTGAATTTTAAATACATTTAAATAGACCACGTAGGACTACAACTGTAGTTTTTCTATCAGTATCTGCTTTGACCCAAATACAAACTGACTTGCTGCAGATCCGAATAGTATTTAATGATTGTGTCTGAACTAGAAATTTTTTACTGCAGTTCTTAACGATCACGGGCTGGATTTTGGTGTCGGGTAGCTTTTAAGCACTTATTTTTCCTCCTTCGCATCGGTACGATACACAAAAAAAATATTCATAGGAAAAGTTCATATCAATTACTTAACGAATGAAGATATATTTAGTACACTCTGTATTTCCGAGTAACTCCTTGTATGTGTGATATATACAAAGTGTCTCAAAAATATGAAATAAAGAAATATTTGTTGTACATTATTTGTGAATGAGTTTTTAAAATAACCTTCAAGCACTCATATACAAGGTGTTTTGGAAACATGTGCTACAAATTCAAGGGTCTTTTGATTTTGAGACACAGATTAAAAATAAGCAAATTTTCAACAAACAATGTAATGCATCGAAATTTGGTACAGGTAAGTTTTTGAGGGCGTTAAATATGTCAACATTATTAGTTTTTAACAATTTATTTGACATTTTGTGGCTTGGTTTTTTGAGGTTAGGTCTTTTACGATGAATGTAAAATTTGATTTTACATAAAGGGCCCCACGTTGAAATAGCACAATTGATTGTCCCCAGATTGATTAGCTTTTGTTCCATAATTACAGGGTGTTCGAAAATGATTAACTCATATCTTAAGGGTGACCTCCTTTGATGAAAACAAACCGACCTAAGTAAAAAATTATGTTAGTATTAGTTGAAATGGAATTAAAAAACATTTGAATGAGGATAACTTTTTAAGAAAGCAAAATTGTACTAAGGTAATTTGACTTAACTCGGTTTATTTTCATCCAAGGAAGCCTAATTGTTTCCGGACACCCTGTATATCACTGGATGACTTTGGGTCGGTCGGTTGTGGTTTTTTCAAAAACGAAGCGTTTTCAACAAGAGTACCGTTTTTTGAATAAAATTAAATTTTACCTAACCTCAATAAACTTATGTCGTAAAATGTCACTGGTTAAGGGCGTAACTATCCTATTCCGGGTTTCAATACATTATGCCCTTTTATGGGAAAGATATGGGTAAAATATTATAAGGTCGCTAAGGTTGTGGTACCTTCTTCCAAAACACCCTGTATAGTAAACTATATATTAAAAAGAAAGAAAATATATTAGAAAATCCTGGGTATTAAAGGTAAAAATTATATGGCACATACGTCTCAAGAACACAAAATGTAACTATATTTGTTACAGTGGTTGTGTTTATAAAAACACATATGTTTCATTTACCCCATTGTATAGTTGCCATTATACAATCTATCACAGAGCTGTAATGAATCTAAGAAATGCCAGGATTTTATTGAATAATTTGAAGCATTTTTTTTGTCAAAGAAAATACAGTGATGTGATCGTTGTGTAAATACTTTTAAGTAAGTTTAAGTTAAGGTAGTTAGGAAGAACGAATTAGAAGACAGATGTTCCTTCAAATTACTGACATTAAATATTAAAACTTGTGGCTGATGCAAACGGAAGTACCTAAGTAATAAAGTGTACACAATAAAATAACAATTCCTCACGTTTGAAGTTGTCATAAGTTATGTTAAATCTGTGTACGTAGGAACATTTGTCTACATTAAAAACAAAACCGTACACAGCCATCATCTCGGCGTGCCCAAGTGCATTGAACTGCGTCTCAAAATAACGTTACAAAATATCACAGAGGCATGGGGTGCCGCACCACGTGACCCGAATGGCAAGGAAGGGGACAGCTAAGGGCCTATCTCAAATCTAACACGAAGTACCAAAGTGACAGACTTACCGGGCGACTCGGCGTCTAGATAAGAGCTCCTGGACCTAGACATGGCCCTCTCCTCCATGGCTCTCGAGGCACTCCGCTTAAATTGCTCCAGAAAACAATCGATCTGCGTCTCCAATGTCGACTCGGCCATGGCAAGAGCACTGGTGCATCGGTATATGCGGACACCATTGGCCTAGTACCGGTTGTCATTTGAAGAACTCATGGTACGTTGACGTCCGCATCGAGACGTTGCCGAGACTCCTGACTACAAAGAGGGCACTACTCGGGCCGTTCGAAAGCCAGAGTTCGATTCGCTACACGGTGCGCGAAGTCCAACGAATTCAGAAATGGGGAGAAGTATTGAGTGGCTTGATAACGTGCGTCCAACGGAGACGGTGAATGCTCTTTTTTCACTCGTACCCTTCGCGGGAACGGAAAATGAACACCCAGGCTTCTCGTCTACTGGGTGGCAAGAATAACACCTGTGCCAAATTTTAATTAATAATAATAGTAATAGAATCGGCAAAAAAAAAATATTTACCGACTGTCCTGTTTAAGAAGAATCACCCTGTATATTGTTTCAATGATTCTTAAAAATGTTACGCAGGAGTTGAAAAGCGAAATCGAAAATGTTGAGGGGGTTGTTTATTTGAAAATATCGTATAGTTTTTTAATTTTGCGTCTGTTTCGAAGGTGGATTCGACAGCAGCATGAATTTCTACGGAGTATGCGCAAGCGAGTATCCATGTGGCCGACGCCGACGTAGTCAATATTTCAGGGTGAAGCATCGCCAATAGAGTGGAAATGGAATTGCAGCTGCAACAGGAAGATAGTATTATGCGGAGGAGATGATGCAGTCGATTAACTTTTAATTATCTTGTACACCTAACGCCTAGAAATTGAACAGATATTGCAAATTTTGCGAAGGCGACTGCATGAAAGGTGTTGTTCACAATTCTCTATTTTTTTTTTTATAATTAGGTATTTGCTTTTTACTTATGTATAAGTTAAACGTAGGTACAGGTGTTAAATATTTGATAAAATGCATATGTAAAATCATGCGTATATTAATTGGGCAACAAGCCTAAAATCGAAATTACCTCTGCCTTACTCACACTTTGGAAATACTCACTACAGAAAATAGCATATTTACAATAGAGCTGACTAAAGCAAAATAAGTTATATTTTGGCACCTGTTAGGAATATCCAAAGAAAGGCAGTGAGGTGCCCGAAAATAAAAAAGAAACGAGAAATTTGAATTTCTCGTGCTATGAAAAATTGACTTTTTTCTAAACTATTACCTCATAATTTGCAAGTCGGTTTTGAGTGTTTTTCGCAATGATTGCTCCTAAAATATGGTGAACTTAAGCAGGAGATATGAAACAATATTTTACGAAAAAAGTTACAGAAAGACAAAGTTGCACTGCCAATTTTTTTTTAAATAACTGGAATGAGACTGATCAGATACAAATGAAACTTGGCACTGGTCTTCAGATTATCGATTGCAATAGTCTCATAGAGAAATAGTTTATCCTCATACACAGTGCCGGAGATGTAGGGGGTGACTGCGGCTTTTTTTATCTAAAAAAATTGTTATGAAGAAAATATTTAAATAATTTAAATTTCTGCTAGCTGGAATAGATAATTTCAGGTGTCGAAAATTACAGATTGGTATTTATTTCAGTCATTTAATTTTCTAGGGAGGTTTGGTGAAGGAATAATCGAAAAAATCCCAACAGAAGCTTTTGCTGTATCCCCCTGTAATGTGAAAAGTATAATAAAGTGACGGGCTCTATTGTTGCGCCCCACCTGCTGAATTAATGAAATTTAAAAAAAACTTAATAATAAGGAACTGATAATTTCAGATATCACGTGTTGAAAATTACATGGTTTTTATTTAAACAATAAAAATTTTAGGTCCCTTCTACTATGTGAACATTTTTATTAGATTTTTTCTTTTAACAGAAATGTATATATATATACTCTAAATTAAATAAAAATTAAGAATATCAATAGAATTTTAAAAAATAATGTGAGTTCCTGCTAGCAGGACCTGATGACTTGACATTTTCAGATGTTGAAAATTACAGGGATCGCTAACTTCCGTTAAATTAAGTAAAATTTGACAATAAATACATTTTTTAATGTGAATTTCCGCTAGCAGGAATCGATAATTTCAGATTTCACGTGTTGAAAGATACAGATTGCATTTATTTAAATAGTAAAAAATATTGTTGTGCCCCTCCTGCTAAGTGAAAAGTATAATTTTATTTTTTCCTGCTGCTACTCGAAAGTATACTCCCTTAAATTAAAGAAAAATTAACAATATAACATTTTAAAAAGTAATGTGAATTTCTGCTAACAGGAACCGATAATATCAGATTTCAGGTGTCGAAAATTACAGGTCACTATTTATTTATCAAATTAAGTTTTCTTAGGAAATTTGTTAAAGCAAAAATGTTGCTGCTGAGTGAAAAAATAACTTTAAGTCAAGGAAAAATTAACAATACATTTTTTTAAAAAACGAATTCCTTCTGCAACAGAGACTGAAAATTACAGGTTTGCGTTTATTTAAATAATTACTCAAGTTTACATGGGAGGCTTGGTAAAGCAAAAATCGAAAAAAATCTGAACGGGCACTGTTGCTGTGCCCCTCCTGCCAAGTGAAAAAAAAACCACGACTCCGAACTCCTCCGATACGGCTATTCCGAAGCAACGTACTCCCTTGCCGTGCTGTGCTCACTACTGAAATATCGTCGCGTCCAATCGTTCCTGCTCCGATTCTCTTTTACTTGTTTTGATTTTCGATATTTATACTCAGTACTACTGGTGCACGGCCACTAATAGTCGTTAGTGTTCACTGAAATTGTTCGAAATCTCATTCACCATGGGAGGTAAGCTTTTTGAATTTTTAAAACGACGCTCTCCGGCTTCGTAACCTATCGACCTTGCTTATTCGCTGTTATCACATAACCTAAAAAGGCGCCGTACTTCTCACCCACTTAGCAAGGCACCAAGCCCTGTTTCAATTATTGAATATTAACAATTACTTAAAATCCGGTCTTTTCATACAGACGTGCCGGTTTACTTAATTTTAGGGCGTTTTTTAACCGTATTCGTAGTTGGTATTAAGGTCGTATTTTTTAGGATTAAATTTATTGCTTTTTATCTCTGATAAAACATACAAAAAAATATTTAAAATTATACCAATTTTAAGACTCACATGTCCACTATACTTTATCAAAGAAATTTGATTAAACAATTCTAGTGACGTATTTATCACGTAAACCGTTTGAAATTCGAATATTTTTAATCTTGTACCGATAAAGTTTAAAAAATATTGTAAGAAAACTGGACACATTCCATGTTTACGATTTCTTAATATCAACGTATTGATATATGGGACAACGGGTCAATCTATGTTTATACAGTTTCACACTAAATTTAGATTAGCATTATTAATAAAAATAAAAATATATATTTAACTCGAGTTTTTCGTGTATTGAAACTTTGGCAGCGATTTTGTTTTCCTCTTTTTTTTTGTGTATTTCTAACTCTTGTCGTATTTATATTTAACTAAAAGGGAACTGTATGCGAAATAATTGTAAGACTTATCTTAACCTAGGCCAACATGTAAACAAATTGCTCCTTATCTACAATCCTGCTTGAATATGTTTACCTGTATTATAAAAATAAAAATACGATTGTCCCACTGATTCATAAAATGCATCGAATGCTTATCCAGTTAATATTCCATTCTATTATTGAAGATTCAAACTCAGAAATTCAAATTTAAATACAGGCTATTTTTAGTTAGAATACTTAGTTCAATTGAATTTAGTTTATTGTCTGACAACAATGAAATATAAGTAGACAGTACGCCATGTAGATTCTGCTAAAAAAATTGAGCCACTGCGCAATATTGAAATATTAATAAAAACCTAGGAAATATTTCTCAAACACTATTGCGTTCAGAAAAACTTTATTTTTGTCTTAAAAAAATATAGATAAACTTAAACATCATGCAATTATGTATACTGCGTTTGATTCTATCAATTTTATTTTGGGCTACTGCGTGTTTCCTGTGTCGTATTTTTAGTTTAATGTTGGCTATTATATTGAAACTATTTTGGATTTTCAAATGCCTCCTACATAGCGGAAAAAAATCTGGCTCAAAAATCGCCAGGATCATAGTCATAATAAAATGCCGTGCTGCATATACGCACCCCATTTGTTTATTTTAATTACCTTCCCACTATAAACAACCGTATTTATTTAAAGGCATTGCAATATAAATATTTTCTGCAAGGGAAACGATTTGCTCACATTCATTCACATTGCGATACATTCCCAAGAAGAGATGGAGATTTTATTAATTGCACGAGGTCATTGCCCTGTTCGTAGTGTAAATTGTTGTTAATACGGATAATTGATTTAATTGTGCAGTTATGTCATTGGCGCCCTCTCTGGGTTGTTGTGAGGGTCAAACATTTGTTTTCAACTAAATTTAGGATTTGACTGAAATCGAAAGTGTGGCTAAAAGAAATAATCCTTTAGTTTTCGTCGACTTTTATTTAAAAAATGCACACAAATTCTTAGAGAAAATATTCAATACCAATTTTTTTTGCTAGAAAGTGTCGATAATATGCGTTAAAATTAATGGGCATCTTTCGTCGCCACGCGTTCATTAAAAATATAGTTGCGTTAGGCGCAGTAAATTTAGAATTGCAAACCGTTTAATTTACAACAGCGGCTACACGAAATACAGTATCCGAAATAAAAAAGGCAGGAGCCAATTAGGTCACGATTTAAAAAAATGCGTTTACCTCACGTTTACGCCTTTTGATTTTTAGGAGAAGGTTAAATATATTTACATGATGCGGGCCAAATGCTAATTACGTTTAAAACGTCAAACGGATATGCCCGTATTTTTAGTTATTAACCTCTGTCAATCATTATCGAACCTATTTTTCTGTTCGGCATATATTTTTTTATTTAGCCGATTGGACTCAAACCCCGGAACTAGGTCAACTTTAGTAGCCTTGCTCTTATACCGTTTTAGTTACACCCATGATCTAATTTTTAATAGAATGCAATTATTGACTATTTTTTACCACTAACTTGTCTCGATGACGGATTAAATTAAGTTAATTAAAAAAAAAAGAAAGCACTTTGTTGTGTATATGTATAAAAATTACAAAAAAAAAATAAATATAATTTTTTGTTCTAGGCTACGCCTGGGTGACGTTGGCGACAAACGATTCCTACTCGTTGGGGGCCTTAGTTCTGGCCCATTCGTTAAAACAAGTAGGCACCCAGCAGCAATTAGCTGTATTGGTAACCCCTGGGGTGACAGACTCTATGCGGTAAGTACAAGATAGTTACCTAGTGTCTCAAAAAAATTTAGCCACGGCCTGCTGAGATAATCGCTCAACGTAACATTTTTTTAATATCGCTAAGAATCTGTTAGCCATAATCTTAATTTTTCACACTTGCCTCTTTTAGTTGAGTGTAATATATTTTTCCCCATCCTCTATAACATTTTATGCGTGCGCCAATGGCTAGGTACACATAAACTTTTTTTTGGTCGTTGTGAACTTTTGATAACTCGTATGAATTATAGGAGATATATCTTCAACATTTAAAAATGCAGAAATTTTGAATTGAGAAATGTAAAGTAAAATAGTCTCAGAGTAATAATAAAAAATTCTGTTTTGTGGTACTTCTCAGTAGGCGGTAATTTTTGTGTATTTTTAAATTGCTCTAAATCACCTCATTCTGATCTCTATCTGTATGTTTAAGTTATTGTTTTAAAAAATAACACCAAAGAGGGGATTTTTATAACTGAATTGTAGCTTTTATAATTTGTTTTTTCTCGGCGTACATAAAAATTTTGACGGCGTCGGGGTCTGATTTGAGCCTTATTTACGTGCACCAAAACGTTCAATAGTTCATAATTTCTACATTGCTACTATTTTGAGCTTGACATTATTATCTGTTTTTAGCTGAAACTGTACGTCAAATGAAAATTAACTTTGGCAACTGTGTCCTTGGGGTCAAATATAACTTTTAGTGTGTTGATTTTGCCATATACTTTATAATTTAATGTTTTGCATAAATCAAATAATCTTTCCACCCACTATTGTCAACTTTGCTTGTGTTAGTTGGCGATGATTTTGCTCGATTGTCAAACAGCCTGTGCTGTGAGACATCTTAATTTATAAATAGCGTTATCATCGCATCTTTTATGCTACTCATTCATAAATAGTATGGTACGTAATAGAAAAGGAGGTAGTTACGTTTGTTGGATAGTCATAGATTAGGTCGGCGCCCAAAATGTGTCAATAAGTTTAGCCCTCTTGATAAAAATAATATACAACCTACGATAGCGGTTATTACGTTACGTAATGAATAATGATCTCGCGGGATCATTTATTAGATAATTTTATTAAGAAAGCTTAGTATTTATTGTAATACGTGGTGTAAAAATGTCTCCGAAATATAATTTTATCTATAAGTAAACAAAAAAAATAATCTCAAAGTGTTGAACCGCCACTTTTTATCTTGGGGGCAAAAGTTTGATATATTTGAGAAAAATATGTAAAATAATCGACTTGAAAACAATTTAAATCTGCCGTTAATTAAGTTTATCCATCTAAAATCATTTAAAAAAAATAAAAATAAATTAATAAGGCAACATTAATATTTATTTAATTGACAGCATATTAAGTAGTATATGTAAATAAAAAATTTTAACATGTAAAGTTGCATTTCAAATAAATACAATTATTCTACTCATATAACACTAGGTTGTAGTTATAAATTTTTTACGCAATTTCAATTGAGCAAATAATAAACAGAGAAATATTACTACGATTTTTGTACGCACTGATTGATAAAATCGAAACTATGAACTTCCCCTTCTTCCTTGGATGAATGATATACAATAGTCCCTACGTAGATTTTGATAAGTTTTATTTGTAAACATACTGCTGGTACCCAATTGAATTTAAATATTGAATTGGCATAAAATATTTACCCTTGATCTGCCTTGACGTAGATAATTTGAAAACGTCAGTAAACAATTCTTTGAACATTGCTTAGACTAAAGGAAAAACAAATTATGTTATACTCTTAAATGTTTTTTTTTATTTGGTTTCCGGCTAGTTATACGCTGAAATAGAAAGGTAGTTTAAAACCACTCGCCCTTTATTTTGAGCCGTCGAAAAAAATAATCAATAGGAAGCTGAAGCCTTGCGGCCGATTTTGGAGGAATTTTTAGAATCCTTGATTTTTTCTTGCAGGGAGAAATTGAGGCAAGTCTTCGATCTGGTCCAGGAAGTGAACATTTTGGATTCTAGAGACGAAGCTAATCTCCGCCTGCTCAAAAGGCCTGAGCTGGGCATTACATTCACAAAACTACACTGCTGGCGCCTTACGCAGTTCGACAAATGTGTATTTTTGGACGCAGACACGTTGGTATGTAATCTCTTTTTATTATTTAATGCTACGAGCTCGCCTTGAAACATCTCCATCATATGGGATATCTATCTCGGCTTTCCTAAAATATCCTTTGTGTTATTTTTGTTGGTCGCTCTTCAAATTTTAACGATACGTTGTTTCTTGCTAATGCTCGCCCGATTTTCCATTCCGTATTACTTAATGCAAATTTTATTAATCAAATATCAACTGTTAAAATAATGGTTGCTTCTAATCTTAATCCGTCGCGAGAGGATGCGAAATTTCACTTTAAATATTTGAGTAAAGATGACGGTAAGTTTAAAGTTTGTAGTGATGACTGTTTATTTTATTTATTTGGATAGCCTAGACGTGAAAATGCTTTAAGGACATGTCGGGGCTTAGTCGCACTGTCTGTATTTTTCAGTAAAATTAATTCATTATTTTGTAGGTATTAGAAAACTGTGATGAACTGTTCGAACGAGAGGAGTTATCAGCGGCACCTGACGTAGGCTGGCCAGATTGTTTCAATTCCGGTGTATTTGTGTACCGTCCATCCAACGAAACTTACGAAAAACTCATCCAGTTCGCGTTGGAAAAAGGCAGCTTCGACGGTAAGTCTGTTAAATTCGAGTAAAATGGCATGGTTTGTTTTTTGCCACCCTCGGTATAAATGTTGAAACAACGGGTCGAACTCGGCGTTACTCGAGGTATTTCGTTACATCTGCTTGCATTTCTTAGAGTAGCGCAAGCATGAACCTGTCTATTTATAACTATCTCTTTGAAGTACAAGACCTAAAATAAAAATACGACTTATTTGTCTGCATAGCTCTTCAAGATGACGCGACCCACGCAATACATTTAGCATGTTACTTGACACTGCGGCTCACATACCGGGAGGCCACAAAATGCGTATACGCGATACTTTTTTAAATATGTCGTTAATTACTTTATTAAATTAATTTAAATTAAAGTTGATTTTGTTCAATATTCAATAGATTGTATAAAATAGGTGATACTTTTAATTTACTTTGCCACATCATATTTTCTCTTTTAGATAAAGTGGAGTAGTATTAAATAGGTAGTTAATTTATTTTAATTTTAGTTGTATGATGTGAAAAATTGGGAAGTTCATAATTTTTTTTTAGAAAAAGTTAGCGTCCTTCGCGGTCTTTTCGACAATTGAAGGTTATTGGAAAAACCAACATTGAACGATTTTCATAAATAAAGACGATTTTTCTTTTGCAAATCTAAAATGTCATAGACCAAACTATTATCTAAAAATTTTAATAACTTGAAACTTAATTAACATTTTATGGGTCCGACGATACCAAAATAACTTTTTTAATTTATAAACCAGTATATCTGGATTCATAAATTTATGCGATTATTTTTAATTTGTAAATAGATTTTATTATAACAGATCCCAGCTATTAGCCTTGTTTATGTCTTGTCAATTTAGTGGATGAATGCTGTAGGAATTGCTCAACAATGAGAAAGCAGTGGTGCTGAAAATATTCAATAAATTACTACATTTGGCACTGTATTTGACATTTTTGCTTAATGCCACAACGCATACGTATTTTAATTTTTTTTTGGACTCAAACGAGATTAAAGTGAAAAAAATAAGCCGAATGTTATTTAACCCATTTGCACTATATTGTTAGTTTTTTTAACTAAAAACCCCATTATCGAAATTATACAGAGGAAACTATAAAGTAAATGTAAAAAAATTTGATTAATTAAGATTTCATAAGAATATTTGATTTCAATTGTGTTTAAGTTATCGTATTGCTTATTTTTATATTAAAAATGCAAACATTATTTACTAAAAGCAACATACTTATTCTCCTACGTTTGTTTTCAGCGATTCCAATGGTTTCATAAAAAAAAATTTAAAACGTCTTTTGTCGACTTTTTAGTTTTTGACTCTTTCTACTGACGATTATTTTTGTCAATAATTACATTGATTTTTTTCTAAATTTAAGGTGGTGACCAGGGCCTTCTGAATTTGTACTTCTCCGATTGGGCCCACAAAGACATCAGCAAGCATTTACCGTTCATTTACAATTTGTGTTCTACTGCATGTTATTCTTACTTGCCCGCATATAAACAGTAAGTAAAAGTAAGAAATATTTGTGGAAAAAAATTCACAGTATTTTCTTTGAAGGTTTGGAGGCAATGCGAAGATTATTCATTTCATTGGAGCTTCGAAGCCGTGGTTGCAGTACTTTGATACAGAAACTAGGAGGGTGCATCCTACGGGAGAGGTACAGCACCTTCGGGATGTGTTGCAGCACTGGTGGAACATCTTCTGTTCCCTTATCCATCCCAGTTTGACGCCAGACATGGTGAGTAGATCTATATTATTATTTTACGATGCATAAAATTTGATAATTTAACGAAAAATATATTCATTTTTTATTAGAGAATCATTTAAAATTTTTGCAAGCCTATTGAGGATTCACAAGGTGAATCGAAGGTGAGTTTGTTACTAAAAAAACTAAATGTTTAACTTACTATTTTTAAAATACTGAAATGAATGACTTAATGTGTTTCTTACCATTTTATGTTGCTTGTTAATTTAATAAACAAATATTGACCTGCCGTTTTAATGTATGACATACAGTCAAAAAAGTTTATAGAATGCCTGCTTGTTATTTTCTTTTTTTTTATATACGGTCTCCCAAATCAGTTTAGAATTGTGAGGTATCAATTTTTTTCATAAAGATATTTTTGTGTCAAAATTTATATTAATTTTAAAAATATACCGGGTGAATAACTTTTCCAAAATTGAAAATTTCGACTAAATAGATAAACAAGGTGCACAGAATTTTTTTTTTAAACTATACACAAAGAATTTGCTGAGCAATTAAGTTTTATATATTATATGCCAAACCTTTCTATTTGTTCTTGGATGTTTGCTATATTAACTGTAAATAAACTATTATGGTCACACTGTCACCTTTTCACACTAATTGAGATCTAAAACCACATATTTTAGCATGATGCGGCACAGCTCTGCCTTTGTATTTTGAGTTTTAATAGGCATTTTGTTTGCTTTCTATTTCCTACTCACAGTAATGTGCATTATCTAGACACGAATCTAAAATGTTTAGGTAATAAATGCATACTGAGCACTTACTGAACTTTTTTTTTTCTTTTGCATGCTTGTGTTTACTCAGACCCCAAGCCATACCGACACTGTGCATGGTAGTCAACCCTACGTACCCCAACGACACGTTCCTCCTCCTCCTGATTTTTACACTTACCAACACGATCCCACTCCTGATATCCAAAATCCTGCGGGAGACTACCAGAATCTGTGGGATCCCTGGGAGGAGTATGATATGAGACAGTCCCAAAATCAGTCGAATCAGTCGGAAATTATTCAGGCAGTCAGTCACTCCCATTCTTATCAAAGTCAAGAACAAGAAAGTCATAATCAAATATTTCAAAGCCATAATCAAACCTTCCAAAGTCATAATGAAGTCTTTCAAAGTCATAATCAAATAATTCAAAGTCATAGTCAGCCGTCTGATAATCGAGGCCAGTGGGTCGCAGATTACAGTAAACCTTCAGAGACTCGCGAAGAGTCGCATAGTAGTTCATTTAACGTACCAGAAAGTCATTATCAGATACAACATGAAGCGACACAAAGTCACCATGTTGAAAATAACGGACAAAATCAGCTCGTTGAATCTCATAATACAAACGCATATCTTGCTGGTCATCATGATAGTCATGATTATCAACATAGCTCTGATAGTCACAACTCACACCCTCTCCCTCCTACATATAGTCAACCGCAATACCATCCAGTTGTCGAGCCCGTTCTTGAAAGTTTCTCACACCACGAACCCGCCCCTCCCGAAAAAGTAACAAACGAAACCCCTCCTATCGAGATCCCTCCTCCCAGACTACCTGATGAGTGTGTGGCAACCACTGTGGTGTCCAACGATATTAGTTTGAACACAGGTACTAACGAAGATAGCAATGATAATAGTGTAAGTATTTTTACTTAGATTTCAACTGTAAGTTAGGAAAACTAGGATTCGCATTTGCCGAGACTTCCATATGTGAATTTTGGAGCAAATTGAAGAAAAATATATTTAAATAATTATTTGATTCGATTCCAAAGTTCACAAGTGTGTTTCTCTGATTTAGGCAGCCAGGGCCATATCGTTTATGTCTGACTTGCACATTTATTTTTTTTGATCAAAATTACAAATTCATAAAAAATAAATAAAAATTAGCTAATATTGAATTTGATACTTATCAAGTTTAAGTTATTGTAGTGTATTAGATTTTTCTTAATTTTGTAATCGCCTAAATGTAACAGTATTCAGCTTCTTTTACTACACAAATATTAAATCTTATGGTTGCGGTGATGGGTAGAGGCTTAAAATTATCGTTTTAACTGATTCTTGTAACTTTTCAGTCTGGTTTGGCGGGTGCTTTTGCCCAACTGACATTAGGTACACCAAGAACGGCCGAGCAAGCTGCGTTGGATGACCATCTGAGAAGGCAGGGTTGGGAAGTCGGAAACATCGATTACTTAGGGCGAGATTCCTTTGAGAATATCTGGAGTAAAATTTGCGAAACATTGTCGAGTGCTCCCGAACCAACTCTGAAACCTAAAGGTGTGAAACAGAAATGACTTAATAGCTATATTTTGGCATAATTTAGAAGTGAAGCTATTAAGTGTATTCGTTTAGTTGCCTGTACTTTTTTTTTATATTGGCTTTGCATGTAACCGAGTTTCGTTTGCATTTGCTTAGGTTTATTAATTTATTTTTCAGCGATTATATTTGATTTTCTGTTTAATTTTTAAATTATCGCATCATCTTACTTTATTTATATGAGCTTTGTATTATCTATCTTTATTTTTTTTTAATTCTTAAATATATTACCTAATATTTAATTTGTTCATATTTGGGAATTTAGACCCATCTCCCCCTATTACCAGTGAGACTGCAGCCCCAGAGCAACCACCAGCAGGTCAGTTGTTGCAGGAAAGCAAACAATTCAAAAAGTGCCAAAAGTGAAGATAATTTGTGTGCCTATTCCATTAGAAGAAAACATTGCAAAATTAAGCTTCCAAATTATTACTTGTTTTTTTTTTTTTTGGGATAGGTCCAAATGGGCGGCTATGTTTTACGTCGCAACTAATTTATATTCCTCGGCTAATTGCTAATTTGTTATCAAATAAATAATTATTTTTAAATGTTTTTGTGCATTAACTATCCCTACCTTTTATCCGAAATGCTATAACTAACCGCTATGTGTTTGTTGTAAACTGCTTATTAACCTACAATGGTGAAACGGGCTTGTAAAGATGTAACAAATACTGCTGCAATTTTGTATGGTGGTGGTGGTAGAAGTGGTTTATTAACAAATTAACCAACACTGAATTATGCATATGGGAAACATATCTGAAAATGTTACAGTTATTTCACAACCTCAACCAGCAACGACCGAAATACCCGAACCGGTGGTTGTTGCTGAAAGTGTTCCAACATCTGAAGCGGTCGCTCGGGCTCCTGCAACGGAAACAGCAGCACAACTCGTGCCTCAACCTGAGGCATCAATTCAACCTACACCTACAGAATTCACACCACCAACTGAAACACAAACCACAGAAGTAACCGTTCAACCCGCACCAGCCTTAGAAGCAGACCTAAGTCCTCGGCCAACCCCAGCAGTTTCAGAAACTCCCCAACCAGTCCCTGACGTTCTCGAAAGTACTCAACCCGCCCCGGTAGCTCCTCAAACACCCGAACCAATTTTAACAGTCGCTGAAACCTCTCAGCCTGCTCCAGTAGTTCCTCAAAGTCCTCAACCTTCTTCAGAAGTTCCTGAACCCGTTAACCTGCCTTCCGTAGTTCCCGACAGCCCTCGACCAGCTCCAGAAATTTCTGAAAGCGTTCAACCGGAACCAGTACTTTCCGAAATCCCTCCAGTAGTTCCACCAGTTTCAGAAGTTCCTCCAAGCCCTGAACCTGTGGTTGTAGCTTGTGAAAGTGTACCACCACCTTTAGCTGAAACTCCCAAACCTACTCCAGAAGTTCCCGAACCCACGTCTCCACCTGTAGTTCCTGAAGCAGCACCCGCAGTTCTTGACACTGCAATTCCTGAAACGACGACCGCTCCTGAAACTGTACCGCCTGTTTCTGAAGCTGAACCCTCGGTTCCCGCAGTCTCTGAACCTGAACCACCAGCTCCCCCAGTTTCCGAAGCTGCGCCGCCTGCTCCCGCAGTTTCTGAAGTAGCCCCGCCAGCTCCCGCAGTTTCTGAAGTAGCCCCGCCCGCACCCGCAGTTTCTGAAGCTGCACCGCCTGCTCCCGCAGTTTCTGAAGCTGCACCGCCTGCTCCCGCAGTTTCCGAAGCTGTACCGACTTCTCCTGCAGTCTCTGAAACCGTGCCACTTGCTCCCGCAGTTTCTGAAACACCTCAACCCGCTCCGACAGTACCGAAACCTCCTAAATCCACATTGGCTAAAAAAAGGCCTAAGTGTCCCGCTCCCGTCAGTGTAAGTTCCCAACCTGTTCCTGAAGTTCCCCAAAGCCCCCAACCCCCACCAGAAACGCCTCCAAGTCCACAACCTAAATCAGATTCATCGGCTGTAACGCCTAAACCTAGTGTTGAAAAAAAGGCTGCAAAAAAATCGACGAAAGAGGCGCCACCTAAAGCCGAGGCAACGGAAGCTACTCCCCCTTCTGTTCCTGTAGCACCCCCTGCAAAGCAACAAGCATTAGTAGTGGATACGAGTGCTCCCGATACCCCTCCTCCTGCCAGTTCTTCAACCGCAACTCCCACCCCTCCGCCTCGTAAGAGTAGCGGTACACCGAAAAAAACTAGCACGAAGCCCAAGAAATAATTTGGAGCGTTTGTTTATTAAAGCTTATCTATAATGCCAATTTTTTTTATTAATTGTATTGAAAATGTGCCCCACTGGGCAATTTACAAGATTATAAACTCATTTTTATTTATTTCTACATTAGGTTGCCTTTTAGTATAATTATTGTTTACGCTGAGTTTTTCTGTTTAATAAAAAAAGTATTAATGGAATTGTATCTCATTCCTTCCACTGCAGTTATTTAGACGACGGTGAATCAAACAACATCGTCATCTAAGGGTCATTTATTACATTATGAAATTACATAAGACACATAAAAATGACAGTATAAAGCTTAAATAATAAATATTTACATAATATTTCAAAAATAATTTTTGAGATAGATTCCTTGAATCATTGAACAACGTAATATAATTTGAACTGCTTGCACCCCTATGAAAAACCTGTATTTACAGTGAAAAATCTAAATGGAAAAGGTGAGGTAAAAGAGGATTAATATTTATGTTTATGTCTGTGTTTCCTGGAAGATTCGGGCGAGTGGTATCTGGATCGTGCCGGACTGCTTTGCTTACTTCTAGGCGAACTGGATCTGCGACTGTGTTTGCTACGTGGGGGAGAGGGAGAATATCTGCCGTGCCGCCGAGGAGAGGAATATTTACCGTTAGAATTGGTTGGGGACAGGGAATCTTTGTTTTTACGAGAAGAACGTGAGGAAGTTGAAACGGGGGAATGCCGCCTAATTCGTGGTGGGCTCGGCGGACTCAAAACCCTAGAACTTCGTTTGCGAGACGGTGGCGAACGACTTTTTGACCTAAAATTCAAGTTGACAATTTCATTAATAAGGGTTTATCAAGAACTTTTAAAACGTAGCATATATTAATATTTAAATGTATTTTACAAAAGTAAGATAATAGTTAAATTATAACATGATCGTTACCTGTGTCGAGACGTTGAACCACTTGATGAACTTCGAGCATGTTTTTTACTTTTTCTAGTAGTACTAGAAAATCAGTAAGAGATAGGGTTAAAAATATCCATATATGTACTAACTTTTTTCAACTTAAAATACATGAGAAAAAAAAGAATTGTTTGAGTGAAAATATTAGTCTTAGTGACACGGGCACATAGAAGAGAATCAGGTACGTGAACACTTATTACTTAAACATTTTTGAAAATAATTTATGTAATATATAAAAAATTTTCAATGTACACTGTCACCAAGCCTTCTACAAGTATAAAAATATTCCTGATGTTTATAATATACAAAATGCTCATAATTTTTTAGATACATACACACGGCATACGTTTGTATTAGTACTTACAGTTCTTTGTAGTATGCATCATCGTCCGAACTCTCTCCTGTCCTCCTCTCACTTTTTTCATAGTCCCTTTTATGTTTTTCACTCTTTGGCGTTTTCTCACCTTTCTCCTTCTTTTCTTTCTCTGATTTTCTGAGTAATTTCCGTCTATAGTGTTCCACTTGCTGTGGCAAAGTCCAACCAGATTTTAACTGCCTCTGACCCGATTCCAACTCGTCTTGGTACTGAACAGCTTTAACCTCTATTTCTCTCAGCTTCTGCCGTTTCTCTTCCGTCATGTTCCTAAAAACCACTCGATCCGAACAATGTTCTCTAAAACTTTTGTCAGAAGACCTACCTAGTATCAGAATAATCATTTGAATCTTGGTTATCATTTTGACTGCTATCACGACTAGCATCCTGACTGTTTTCGAGAAGATCCCACTTACTAGTCGTCATTGCTTGCGCCTCGATTTGATCGGGATCCACCGTTTCCCATTTTGAGGTTATAAAACCGCTCAAACCAGAGTCTTTCTTATCTACAGTGTCGTCTTTTATTTCTTGCCCTAAAATTTGAAAGAAATAATTTTTTTTCTTTCCAAGTTAAATTCCTCCCAATGTACCGTCTATATCGTCCTCGTCTGCTGAACCACTCTCGTACTGCATCATCGCGCTTTTTAGAAGTGCTGCACCGTCCATCGGTACATCTTCATCCGATTCTTGGTGTTCTAAAGGATTTCCATCAATATCTTCTCCCAATTCTCGAACCGGACTCTCCTTAGATTCCTAAATTGAAAGTTCTTACACTACTCTTTCAAAATTGTAATTTTAAACTCACCTCGTCTTCCAAACCTAAAAATGTATTATGCAGTTTGCTCATGAAATCTTTAGGATAGATCGTATCTTCCCATGCCTTCAGTATCCGTAAAACCCTAACCTTAAAACCTTCAGCTTGTAGTCTACCTTCTAATTTATCGTAGGTGCCCTTTATTTGTGTCATTATTTCAACTAATTTATTCTCGAATCTGCAATACAAAACGTAAGCACACATTTGAACACACTTTAACAGAAAACTTACGCTTTTCTATAAAATGATGCTTTATTAACTTTAACGCCACAATTGTGCAAAATGTCAGACACTAAATAGAGTCTTGCAATCTTTTTCGTTATTGCTGTAGTTTCATTAGAAAGCGATTCCGTTATACATTCAGCTATTTCTTCCGCTGCATCACTGTGCTCGATACAAAATACCATCACTTCCCCAATTTTAGTTTTCTCGGGTGCTAAACTACGAATTAAATCTTCTAATCGGTCACGCTGACTAAAAATAAACGGAAATTTAAAAAAAAACACCAATTAAATACTGTTTCTTACGAATTCGAAAGTGATCCTTTAGAATTCTCCTTGGCTTCGTCTTCCCGTACCAATTCTTCTGGCATTCCTCCTGTATAAGAATTCATTATAGGCGGTTTCCAAATTGATCCATCTGAAATTTAGGCATTAAGTTCACTCATAAACCAGACCATTAAAATTTACCTTTAAACATTCGAAATTCTTTCGTTTTCCATTCTTTCTGAGAATCCCCATGCAAAATTGAAAACACCTTCCAACGATAGTAAATATGAGTTGGACTTTGGTTTTCAAACAAAAATCTGTGAAAAAATACGACGTAAAAAACTTTACTTCAAAATTTTTAGTAATCACCTAAATTGGGCATTGTTGATCTCCCTATTCATAATCATCGCTTCGAACATAGGCCCCTCCCTCACAACGAATTCTACCAACCTGTGTATAAGCATAAGCAGATTCCTATCAGTAGGTATAACAACCTTAACGACAGCTCTAGAAAGAATATCGTTCAATTCCTCTTGGCTTTTCGGCAAGATATCTCTATCTTTTAAAGCCGGCTGTGCGTTAAACGGTAAACCAGACGGCGGAGGTGGTTGCGCAATTTCTAGTAAAACCGGAGGGATATAAATTGGATGTGGCGGGATAATTACGGATTTTCCCCAACCTAACTTCATTTCGTAACCGAAAATGTCTTTCCCGTTCAAATTACGGAGTGCCCTTTCCCCATCTTTCCTAGACATGTATGCCACAAACCCGCAGTTCCGCCCCCTCGCTTTTTCTTCGTCCGAACGTGGCCACATTATTTTTATACTAGCTAGTGGTCCAAATCGCCCGAATATTTCCATAAGCTGCTGCTCTGTAATCTAAACCAAACCATTAAACTAAAGACGAAAGTGTTTATTAGATTTACCTTAGGATTAAGATTTCCTAAATATAAATTAGTTGTCGTAGGATCTCCATTGTCAAAAGAGCCGATGTCGCCACTTTTCATGAACAGGTCAAGTTCGGATTCTATAGGAGTACGAATCGCACCTTTATACTTGTGTCTTTCTTCCCTCTCTTCTTGGATCCTAATAATTTTATCGTTAATGAAATAACAGACATTTTATTTTAAAAAATTGTACTTACTGTCGCAACTCTTCCATGAATGCTTCTAAATTACTTTTTGTAGATGGTTTCTTCTTGCCTAATCGTTCTGGCTTTTTATCTGACGAGAGTAATTTGGCATAAGCCTGGGCACGTTCGGCAGAAGTCATAAGTTCTTGTGACGGCGTAATTCTGGAAGTTGGTTTGTACAGTTTGCCTTTGTCCTTTGTATCTTCCTCTGCAAAATAAATGTTGCTGAAATTAAATCGCAGAATAATTAATGAATTATAACTTACTGCGTGCTCCCGCATCATATGTTCCAGCTTTAACCCACACTTTGCTACTTCCATTTAAGGGCGCTTCTTGAAATGTCTCTACGAATTCTTGGAAAACCTGTAATAAAGCAGTGTTGGACTATAATGTCAAACTAAAAACATTTTACGTACATGAGCTGCTGCTTTTTCTTCCTCTCTTTTGCGTTGTTCCTCGAGTTCCTTTTTTGACAACCCTCTCTTTCCCATAGTCCCAATTGAAAAGGCTTTCAGTTTTTGTTCAGGGATACTCTACACAGATATTAGATTAGTTTTGCTTGGTCGACTATTAAATTCAACAAATTTACCTTTATTTTTTCTGCCATTTTTATGGGATATTTGGTCAAATTACAATGATTAACTTCTACAAACTAACACATTTCTCCTACTTTTTCCCCATTTCTACTCATTATCATAAATGCTCATTTTCTGTTTTAACGTGTTGCAGGTTGATCTAAATTAGACAAAAATTTCAATATTAGTGTTCGGTGCTCCTTCAACTATATTACGCAAAAATAAATAAAATGTAAAGTTGACATAAAAGTCGTTTTCGTCTGTTAGCTAACTTCGTTCTAGAATCACAAATCTAGAAAAAAATGTAGACTGCGTGTTGTTTTATACCGAGAGATCCAGAATGATTGAACTATTTGGGGAACGCAGCCTATTTCTATCACCATCTTTATCATATAAAAATCTGTAGTATTGATAGAGACAGGCACAGGCTGCGATCTCCACACTTCAATCATTCTGGATCTCTCTGTACAACCGGCTATCACATAAATTAATATACTTAATCTGTCAAATATGCACCATGACGCGGTACCTAATGGTTCGATAGATTTTCAGCCAGCGTATTGAAAAAGAAAATTTAATTGTTGACTCTTTGGAACTCAAAATACTGGTGATTTTTTAAGTATGTACTATTTGATTATGACGATCCGAACTAAATTTTTGAATATAACCATCATATATCGTTAAAAAAGCGAATTACAAAGGAGTTTGCGATTCTATTTTGACTACGTACCCGACGTGACCGACAAACACAAAAGACCTAGACACCAACTTTTTGACCCTGGGTGACCACCCCAATGACCCCCCCCCCCTGCCCGCTACCCTTTTCTGTTTCAGAGACAGCCAGGATCAAGAAACGAAGACAACGACACACACATACACTACACACCCCCCATACCCTCCTTAACCCTCCCCTCCCGCGCTAGCCTAAGGGCCACCTTAGCAAAGCGCATCCCAGGCTGCATAGCCGCACTACCCTACCCAACCATACCACACATAAACATGACACTACCCCCGGGGTTTACACAGACGAGCCGGCGAAGCAAGAAGAGCGCCAGAAGAAAGGGCCCTAGCCGGCGGGGCCCAGCCAGGACAAAAGGAGGTCCCACAAAGCGCCTACACCGGCCGCATTTGCGGTCGGGGTAGACGACGGATGGGGCCCACCTACGAAGGCTGTCCAGGCCTACACGAGATGAGGCAGGATAAAGAGGGATAATTCCCCTCGATCCCAAATCATTGAGGGCAATTTCTAGCCATAGAATAATGGCGGCGCCTCGATCCCAAATCATTGAGGCCAATTTCTAGCCATAGAATAATGGCGATTCTATTTGATTGGCCATTATTTCACGGTCTCCGGGTTTATGGAGTTGACTCGTCTACATTTTTTTTTTAAGGTTTGTGCCATAGAACATTGCGTCTTTTAATCTAATCTTTCAACTAAATCATTGTTCCATTGTTGGATTATTTACTTTATAATTTTGCTCTATGGTGTGTCATCCTTACTCTAATCATTTGTTGATCAAAACGATTTGAATTTGTAGTAGTGATAGATAATATTTGTTTTTTCTAAAAGTTCAATTTACTAGATAAAATTAGATTTCCTACTTTACAATAAAATGTAAGGAAATGAGTCGTACTTTATCATATTACCAGTTTCTTGTACAAATATTTTCCTGTTTTAGGTGATTGTACCAGAAGAAGAGGAAACTTAACCACTAAAAAGATACTTTTAGATAATTTATTAGTTGTAAGTGTCCCTGACACATAAAACGAATGGAAATAACACAAATGAAATATACGTGTGTTATTTATTGCATGAGCACAGTGGTTATTTTTTTTTAAATAATATCTACTTCGACAGAGATCTGTATTATCGATTTTATTATCTATCAATTTTTCTATGATTCTATTTTAAAGTTGTGCGGATGACATAAGTTTTATATAAAACATGACTAAATAACCAATGCAGTATTTAAGAAATGCAATAAAATAGAAATAATACTAGTGCATTAATGATATCATCATCATTATGTTGACGGATATACCAAAGGAGTTTAGAAAATATTCAAAACATTGTCAGAGTCTCAGAAGGATATTACAGGATACTCGATCTTCTCTCGAAGATATTAATAATGTTTTACAATTAGTGCGTAAGTAGTAAATGAAAAATTGTAACTCTGGTTATAAACATATTCTTTTAATAGGAGATATTAAAGAAGATTTATTGAATATAGATATTATAGAGAATCTTAATGCTAAACTGGATAGGATACCTACTCTCTTAATTTTTGGACAAAATTGTCATGCTAAAGCCTTATTTGTTAACACTTTGTTGGGACAGACTATTTTACCGCAGTTCAGTACTAGATGGAGATATGTAAGTACAATTGCCATTAAGAATTATATTTTTGGCCTTTTTTTTATTTTGAATATTTAACGGTCACGAATTTGTTTACACGAGACTTTTAACTGACACGAATCGTTTAAATTTGCTTTTATATTTAATTACGTGTCCTCTTTTTGTTAATAAAGATAACTTTTATATATGGACATTCAAAAAATATCCGTCTAACTCTTGGACATGATATCGAAATCGTCGAAAAGTTAAAAGCCCATGAAAAGCCATGGATAACGATACCGGAGGAGGACCTACAAAGGAATGATGAAGAGTCTCTGTTAGACCATTGTCCAGCAGTAGAAGTAGATCTGAATCATTCGATTTTAAAAGAAAATGTGAAAATTATGGTGCCAGCAGATTGCGAAGTTGAAGAATTAACGGAAGCTTTGAGTAAATATGTACATAATATTCTACCAATCGTAATCTACTCAGTGTATGAAGAAGTTTTAAATGATACTGTAAGAGGGAATATTGCCAATTTTTTTCATTCAAAATTAATATTTGATTTTTTCAGAACATTCAAGAAATTCGTAAACTGAAAGATAACTTTAAGATACCATTCTTGTTTGTGAGCGTGTCGAACACGGAGCATTCAACTTTTTGTTCGGAATCGTTAACTGAATCGCAGCAACATTCTGTAGGATTGAACATTGGCCAGAAATATTCGAAGTTACAAAATCTCCAAGATCAACTGGTAAGACTGGGTATGTACGACATTATTTTGCGACACTTGTAATTTAATACTACTTTTTTAGGGTTCATAAATGAAAATTTTAAGACTGATGATATTGTGAAACGGAAATCTTTATGTTTAGAGTGCTCTTTGGATACTCTGATTTGTGATAAAAAGATAAATGAAGAATTTATATTGTATGTAAGCGAAATGTTGAAATCAAGCGTCTTAAAAATGGCTGGGAAACTAAGTGTGGTATATAGAGAAAGATTTATTATATATTTTTTTGTTCCTAATAATTATCTTCTGTAGATTCATACAAAATGTTTGAGAAAATTTATACTATGCGCGTTCGATATGGCACGTGAAATTCAAATAACTCCAAAACGTATTTTATATGCCCAAGAGATTGAATTGAAACTATACAAAACATTGATGAAAATAGCCTGCGAACAACAAGAAGAAATAACTGCGATAATACAGCGTACTCTTCAAGATATGAAATCGAATGTTGCAGAAGTTCTTGAGGGCTACAATCACAATAGTAAGTATATCTGTTGCAAATAATCAAATTGATGAGTTCGGGCCCGCAGAATGGGGGTGATATCTGAGTTTTCTGACAGTATATTTTTTTTACAGATGCTAACCACTTGTTAAGTGCTAAAATGGCAACAATGGAGATTCAGCAACTAGTTTTGAGGAGATTAAGCACCTCGGTGGCCACTCAAATCGTTCAGTCTGTAGGTTGTTTACAGGAAAGCTTTACAGGAACTCTACAAAGATGTCTAGAAAGCCTTGAAAAAAATTGCCATGAGTCGGAAGGTAATCTCTCTGCTTCCGACGCTGTGAAACAAATAATTAGTGCCGCTTATAGCATCGATCTAAAATCATCGACATCATTCTCGATCGTACACACCCTGATGGATCGTCTCCGTACTTTACTATCTACATTCGCTTTACCGTGGTCTTCTTCGAGCCAAGTACAGTGCAACTTCCAATGGCAGCTACAAGTTGTCACAAATATGATAGATAAACTAAGTGCGTCTAAACTCGCAAAAACGATATCAGTGCAGTTCCAGGAACACGTCAAATCGTCCCACGAAGCGTTTCAGTCTGCCATGCGCTCTTTAGAGAATCAGCTTACCTGTCAGTTAGAACAAACGGAAGAGCAACGAATAGCTATAAGGAAACGGCACGCACCTCGCTTTGCCCGACTAGCCCTTGAGAGCACCTCACTGTGCGATTTGGTACAATATGGAATGCCAAAACAGATAAAAGAAATCGGACGGGGACAGTACGGTGTCGTTTCCTCATGTGAACCATGGGGGGGAATAAATCCGTGCGCTTTTAAGTCTGTCGTGCCTCCTGATGACCGGCACTGGAACGATTTAGCGATGGAATTTTTTTATACAAGGTATGTGATATATTGGGTTCTTAAAATTTTCACGATAATTTATTTATCTTTTTAGGACGATACCGGAGCATCCGAGAATTGTGAAACTGAGGGGGTCAGTAGTAGACTACACTTATGGCGGAGGTACTTCCCCTGCTGTCCTTCTGATAATGGAAAGGATGACGCGAGATTTATACTGCGGTCTTCGCAGTGGTTTGTCTTGGGTAGCGCGGTTGCAAATTGCTATAGATGTCATCGAAGGGATTAGATACTTGCACAGCCAAGGACTTGTTCACAGAGACATCAAATTAAAAAATGTGCTTGTAAGTATACCATATTTAATAAATTCATGACATACTTGATCGATCTTTTTGTAACAGTATAAATTTTATTTTTATTTTCAGGCTGGCCCAATTAAATAAAAGATTGCCATGTAAAATGATTATACTTTTATTAATTTTATTACTTATTTCAGCTGGACAACAAAGACAGAGCAAAACTGACAGATTTTGGGTTTTGTATACCAGAAGCGATGATGTCAGGTAGCATTGTTGGGACTCCCGTTCACATGGCACCAGAGCTTCTGAGTGGACGTTATGACTCAAGTGTTGACGTGTATGCCTTTGGAATTCTCTTTTGGTATATTTGTGCGGGCCAGGTCAGACTTCCAACACATTTTGATCAATTCCAAAATAAGGAACAATTATGGAATAACGTCAGGAGAGGTAGGATGTATCTTTGTGTTATGTTAAACCCTTAATATATTTTTCTGTTTAGGAACCAGACCTGAATGTTTACCACATTTCGATGAAGCGTGTTGGAATCTTATGGAGCAGTGTTGGGCAGCAGAACCAAGCGAGAGACCTTTGCTGGGCTACGTTCAGCCACAACTTGAAGCGATATATATTAAAGCAAAATCTGAAAATCCAGGCAAGTTATCCAGTTGTAGTTATAGCCCACCATTCCAGCACAAATTAAAATTTAATGAAGACGATTACTGTTACAGTAATTACAATTTTGCTTGTTTAAGAGAGTACTGATTTTTTTAGATACTTTGTCGATCATAATTTTAGAAATGTACATTTTAGTTACTTTTAAGTACTTGTATTGATTATTTACTTTTATGGTATTAGGTCTCGTTACTTTGGATTCATTAATTTTTATGCAGTAACTTTTTTATGCTTAATCTAATTGAGTAAACAATAAGTTCGTTCTGCAAATATTATCACAGCGTTCTTAATAATTTGGAATTAAATAACCCAGGTAACGAGTCTCTAAAATTATGTAATCGTTACTATGAATCCTGAGCAAGCAACGTTTTGTAACGATTACGTACGTTATGCTTACAACACTATATAATTTGACTTGGATTCGTTATTTCAGATTCCTAATTGGAGGAAGAATATGAAATCATCATTTTATTAATTGTGTATGTAAGTTGTAAATTATTTTTATATTTAAATGCAAATTTTATAATAATTTTTATTAAATCAGTTTTCCTAATTCTTTGTGTTATTTCCAACAAAATCGTACACCTTTAAGTAGAGGAATTCAAAATTGATCAAATTCTGAGATATAAAATTTCTTATTATATTCTTAATATATTATTTTCCGAGCCCTTAAAATTTTTGAGAAGTGGTCCGTCGATTTTCTCAAAAATTTTTAGGCCTCTGAAAATTCTGAAAAAATTCAGGTGGACAATGACGACCCTGACTAATACAAAACTGCCGTCAGTTCCTCTCTAGCTCCGCCAGTTTTCGAGATTTTTTATATTTTTCCTTCCGGTTTCAAAGCATTTGTTAGGTAGGCAACATACAATACATACGTGAGTATACTTGGCTGCATAAACCTCCTTTTGGAAAGGCACTTATTTTTTGACGATAATTTTCATGAATAATCTCAAAAATTTAAAATGCCGTCTAAACACGGCACCCCGTGTGTAGTTTGCTGTTTGCGCCGCAGAAAAGGCCGCTGTAGTATGCTATTTTTGTAAGTTGCTTTCCCGATGAAAAAAATTGAATATCTCGAAAATTACGCGAGCTAGAGAGAAATTCGTATTAGTTTTGGATTTGCCAGAACCGTTATAGTCTGGAGGATTTTTTTCAGATTTTTCCGGTCCCCTAAAATTTTTTGGCCGAAAAATTCGATGGACTGGTCCGTCTAATTTCTCAAAAATTTTTAGGGCTCTGAAAATTCTGAAAAAATTCAGGTGGACAATGACGACCCTGACTAATCCAAAACTGCCGTCAGTTCCTCTCTAGCTCCGCCAGTTTTCGAGATTTTTTATATTTTTCCTTCCGGTTCCAAAGCTTTTGTTAGGTAGGCAACATACAATACATACGTGTGTATATTTGTCTGCATAAACCTCCTTTAGAAAGGCACTTATTTTTTGACGATAATTTTCATGAATATTCTCAAAAATTTAGAATGCCGTCTAAACACGGCACCCCGTATGTAGTTTGTTGTATGCGCCGCAGAAAACGCCGATGTAGTTCGCTATTTTTGTAAGTTGCTTTCCCGATGAAAAAAATTGAATATCTCGAAAATTACGCGAGCTAGAGAGAAATTCGTTTTCGATTTGTATTTGCCAGAACCGTTATAGTTCTGGAGGAATTTTTTCAGAATTTTCCTTAAACCCAAAATGTTTTGGACGAAAAAATCGATGGACTGTCCATCGATTTTCTCCAAAATTTTTAAGCCTCTGAAAATTCTGAAAATATTTAGGTAGACACTACCGGCCCTGACGAATCCAAAACTGTCGTCAGTTCCTCTCTAGCTCCGCCAGTTTTCCAGATTTTTTACATTTTTCCTTCCAGATTCAAAGCTTTTGGTGTATAGGCAACATACAATACACGCTTGTAATTCTTAAAACCGCCTTTAGCAACGCATTTTAATTTTTTGTCGATAATTTTCGTGAAAATTCTCAAAAAATTAGAATGCCGTCTAAAGACGGCACCCCATATGTAATTAGGGCCGCAGAAAACGCCGATGTGGTCCGCTATTTTTGTAAGTTGCTCTCCTGAAGAAAAATCGAATATCTCTAAAATTACGCGAGCTAGAGAGAAATTCGTTTTAGATTTGTATTTGCCAGGACCGTTATAGTATGGAGGAATTTTTTCAGAATATTCCTTGAACCCAAAATTTTTTGGACGAAAAAATCGATTTTCTCAAAAATTTTTAGGCCTCTGAAAATTCTGAAAAAATTCAGGTAGACACTACCGGCCCTGACGAATCCAAAACTGCCTTCAGTTCCTCTTTAGCTCCGCCAGTTTTCCAGATTTTTTACATTTTTCCTTCCAGATTCAAAGCTTTTGGTGTATAGGCAACATACAATACACGCTTGTAATTCTTAAAACCGCCTTTAGCAACGCATTTTAATTTTTTGTCGATAATTTTCGTGAAAATTCTCAAAAAATTAGAATGCCATCTAAAGACGGCACCCCATATGTAATTAGGGCCGCAGAAAACGCCGATGTGGTCCGCTATTTTTGTCAGTTGCTTTCCTGAAGAAAAAAATTGAATATCTCGAAAATTACGCGAGCTAGAGAGAAATTCGTCTTAGTTTTGGATTTGCCAGTACCGTTATAGTCTGGAGGAATTTTTTCAGATTTTTCCGGGCCCCTAAAATTTTTTGGCCGAAAAAATCGATGGACAGTCCGTCGAATTTCTCAAAAATTTTTAGGCCTCTGAAAATTCTGAAAAAATTCAGGTGGACAATGACGACCCTGACTAATCCAAAACTGCCGTCAGTTCCTCTCTAGCTCCGCCAGTTTTCCAGATTTTGTACATTTTTCCTTCCAGTTCCAAAATTTATGGTGGGCAGGCAACATACAATACATACGTGTGTATACTTGGCTGCATAAACCTCCTCCAGAAACGCATTTTTGTTACGATAATTTTCATGAATACTCTCAAAAATTTAGAATGTCGTTTAAAAACGGCACCCCGTATGTAGTTTGCTGTTTGCGCCGCAGAAAACGCCGATGTAGTTCGCTATTTTTGTAAGTTGCTTTCCTGAGGAAAAAAATTGAATATCCCGAAAATTACGCGAGCTAGAGAGAAATTCGTCTTAGTTCTGGATTTGTCAGTATCGTTATAGTCTGGAGGAATTTTTTCAGATTTTTCCGAGCCCTTAAAATTTTTCCCTGAAAATTGTAAACAATTTATTTTCCTTCTAATAGCGGTCCCGTATGCAACTGGGGTCGCTAACACACTGGGCTGGTCGGTTTTTGTGCCAGTGCTTCCATTAAGAAAAATAACGGAAAATCTCAAAAATTATAGGAGCTAAAGAGAAACGAACTGGTCTTGGAATGATGGACATTACCCGAATTTTTTCAGATTTTTTCGAGTACTATAATTATGAAGTTAGACGAAACAGAATTTTTAATTGGTGTATTGATTACTAAGATTTCTAAGTTTTTGTGATATGTTAATCTGGTATAAATAAAATAGCGTTGGGAGATCGTTTATATAGAAATATGAAACATATCACAGCAAAACAGTTACCAACTGAAATAATACACATTCTTGTTTTATTTTCTCTGTTCATTTAATCAAATGACTTGACCTAAGGTAATACTGAAAGAAGAAATAAAAACAAGTCATAAAAACAATAATTTATTCAAGAAAACTGTATATTAACAGTAATATATTACATATGTAACAATCTAATCATTTAGTAAAAACATAACGTAAGGGAAACTTCAGATTAAAAAAATAATAAAGTATGTAAAGTCAAACTAACTTTTGCTATGTACAATCAGTGTAGAATGTATCTGACAAGCCTGTATAACGTACGATTCCATTTCGTTGGCTTTACAACACGAAATTTGAATATGAGCACCTAGATTGAAAGTTCCTGGTCCTGTCACGCAAGCAGACAACATCACAGCTTCAGTCGTTAATGGTTTCACCATCCTTATTACCTTACTGTTGCCCAACCAACAGAAATTACTGGAAGCATTGCGATAGAATAAGTTTGACTTGTTTATAGAGGTTTGCACGGTACTGAAACAAAAAAAATATTTAGAGATAAACTATTTGTTAATTTACAAAGACCTTACAGTTCTGTGATTAAAGCACGATCAGTCAGCTAAGTAGAGCAAACATGTTGAAAAATAAAAAAAAGTTGATGACTTCTACGTTTCGTGCATTATAAATACACTCATTATTTTATCCTTCTGCCGTTACCTTTATCTTTAATCCAGAAATTGACGAGCTTCTCTCTACTTTGCTAGAGCTAATTATGCTTCGTCTATATACAGGGCCTTCATAAATGTTTACAAGCCGCGTGACTGCAGAGCTTAGGCAACCCAACGTTGAATGGTAACGATAGATCTTTAAAACTTGCCGTCACCGATATTAATGATTCATTTACAGTAAAAAGTAACAAACCGTTACGCTTGAGATAATGCGATCGCCGATTGAATAGTTTTGTGAAAAATTACACCAACCGCAGCCCGTGAAACAGAACCTTGATCTTATTACTTAATTAAAATAAAGTAAACAAATAAAAAATAATATTGACTAAGTAATAAATGATTTTGAAGCGAAATTTACTAGTTTAACGCAAAATATATTTACCTAGTTTCGCTAGTATTAACAACAACTTTCAGTTCTGAAGTGTCAATAACGCTGTGTAATAGCAATTTTATAGGGACTATACAGAGTTTTTCTTCGTGAAAATCATGTGTGACCGTAGACGGGTATACTAAATTATAAGCCATTTGATTTTGAGCAACTTTTGCACGTTCTTCTTCCAAAACATTTTTTTCGTTAATATCTATTACACTATCAGACAGAATTTTCTCCAGCTGCAAAATATCCTCTTCAGTCCTATTAATTTCAATCGGAATCACACACTGACCGTTCACCACCCTCTTATTATTAATATCAATGACTAGAGCTCGCCACTGCAGCATTAAAATGCCATCTTTGTTTTCCTTATAGTTAAGGCAGTCCATTTCGTCAAAGACGTTCAATTGAGGACCCTCCGCTTTCCTGCCAAATGCAATGAAGATATTTTGTAAACTCCTGTAAGACTTCCGATCAGAATTTAACGACATACTCGAGTATTCACTGGTTTCTTTCACCTCTCTTTTGGCTTTCAATAAGATGTGTGCAGATTCTTGGGAATGTAAATTAATATATTTCGGCATCGCCATGTCTTTCGATATCGACCAATATTTGCTAAGCAAACCGATGTTTAGTAACGTTATTTCTGTTAATACTGAACTATGCGATTTGTTCAGGTTCGTAATTTTCAGAGCTAAAGCAAGTTCTTCTACTTCCTTTGCCTTGTGGCCTGCTTGTGAAGTCGTTTCTATGGATAATGACTCCTGGACTGTTAAATTCCAGCAGTGTCTCACAAGTCGATACCTTTAAGAATATTTAAATAAATCAGTAATTTTCATTTTTTCCACAGCTAAATAAAAATGAGTCACCATGTAAAAACTGTTTAACACAAATTTCTGTCAAAAGCAATATTTCAGTAAATGAAATACACACAATAAAAGAGTTTTATACATTAAAAATTTTGTAGCGAATTACCATGAAATTAAAGCAAGAACAGAAAAATACAAATTTCAATACAGTCTATTGTTTTAAACATAAACATTAGGGTGGCCCAAAGAAAAAAAATATTTTTTTTTCGTGTCTCTTGTGAAAATATGTTAATTTATCATGTTTTAAGAGCCCCCTCAAAAAATCAGCTTTAAAAAATTTTTTTAGAGGTCGCTCAAGATTTTTAAAAATTTTCAAAATCGTCAAAAATTTATTTTATTTCAAATTTTTTTTCTCGCTATTTTATCATTTCCTAGGTTGAAAAAATCTCGATTCCGAAAATTTCAAATCGAAATAAGGGGTTATTTCCATACTTCACTCCACATTCGCAGATTCCGTATTAGCGGTACATTTTCGGAACGTATCCCCCACGAATAAGGAGCTTTGACTATAATTAACAAAGACACATTGAGAGAATCTAGCATTTCGGCGAGGAATTAAAAAAGAGAAACGATTTTTCAACTCCGGAAGATAAATATTTACCTGGGGATGCTTTGTTTATTTGTATTTTCGTAGTAAACAAGCAAGTCAACAGTTGTGGGACCTTTGTTGTATGGCGCCTTGACCCAAATATTTACAGTGGCTGTTTGCCCGGGGTCTAAGACATTGCCTACTAGTGGCACCGATGTAATGTGGTTCTTTCGAGCTAACTTCTCCCTCGTTGCGGACGTAGCAATATCATATTGGTCAATAGAAGTTTTAGCGTGCTGTCCCAATTCTACATATGACACCAAATGTGGCACCGAAGTTGCAAGATAAATATTTTGGAGGGGTACCGAACTAGTATTTTGGAAATCCACTGAAATTCGCTGGATTTCGTCAGCGAGAAAATCCAAGCTCATCTCGGAAAATGTAACCTGAAAAATGGGTTAGTTAGTAATATGTACCTAAGGAAATAATTTTATTTCACCTGTAAACAAGGAGCCGCAGTTACAACGCTGATATCCAATCCAACGGTGCTGTTATTATCACCTTTCCTTAATTTATTACTACCATTGGGAACGGATATTAGTTGTTTTCCTTTAATAAAGTTTGTCTCTGAAGTGGCATTCGACCCTGTCAAAGTATAACAAAAACCATTTATAGTTAACACCCCAGTGGCTAAAGGCATCAAAGTCAACAGGATGTCTTGCTTAGAATTACCGTCTATCGTAACGGCTTTCAAAATATATGTCTTAACAAAATCATCCTTGTTGTTATCCAGTACATCATTCACTATCACTTCGTCGCAACTCTTAAAACTCCACAGTACGTAGATGTCCCTTAAATGTAATACTGTCTGCAAAGTATTAACTAATTCAATGGATATTTGGATAGGCTCGTTCATAATCGCGACTGGTTTACTTTTCGCTAGTTGGCTAAGCGTATACAGAGTTACCATTGGCTTGAATACCATTGGAAGAGAACCTTCTGCTTCTTGAACTAAAAGTTCTTCCAATTTATACCACCTACTTTCTGCGTTTAAATCGTATGTACTATTAAAACCGATTCCTATAGCAGGAACTTTGCCCGGTGTCGACAGAGGGCGTGTTGGTCCTACTAACACTTTTATCGAGTTCATATTTAATTCTGGTACTGGCAAAATCGGACTAGCATGTTGGTCGCCTGCTTTCAGTTTATTCTGAAAGAAACCGTTAAAGTTTTGGATCAAATAGCGTCTTCAACTTACCCCTAAAATCATCAAGTATTCTTTGAGGAACATTGCTTGTTGCTGAGCTGACTGCTTGCTACCCCCCTTCAAAAGTTTCGAAAACGAATCAACGGCTTCTTCGAACTGCTGCAGATTATTTGCCTGACGTCCGATCGTGTAATGAATATGATCGCATGCCAAATCCCATCCGGTATTTTCGTAAATCTGATAGGCCTGTTTGTAACATTTCAACGAATGTTTCCTCTGTGCGGCTTTGGAAAACCTGTGGCCAGCTAGAACCATATGGAAAGCATACTTCCTAATCATTTTAGACTGTAAAAAACAGTATGCCGCTTGTTCTAAGAGTAAGGCAGAGCGTAAGTCAGATTCTTCGCTAGTCATTCTTATTAGTTGATGTGCGGCTTCACCGTACATTTTTTGGTGTTTCAGGCACTCAGAACTTAGAATTGTAGCTCTAGTCGCAAACTGGGGCATCCTAATTATAGACAAATAAAAATCATTATTAACAAATAAGGTTCATAAAAATTATCGCTTACTTGCAAGTAGTTAAGTAAGTCGTTATACTCTCTTCCATATAATCACAAGTTTTTCTACTGGGGTCACGGTTCATAAAAGCTGACAGTGCTGCCATTTCCAATGCTCCGGCATAATAAAGCCATGCTTGGTCAGCATTATAATCCCTCTTTGCTAAATGATATGCTTGAAATGCGGCATCATAATGACCAAACATGAAGTAAAGGTCTCCCAAACGTCTTACTTGTAACTCTGGAGAATCAGGGGAGTAACTGAAAAACTACATTAGTTTACGAACCAACTAACGGTACGAACTACTCACATCAAATTGTTAACAGCTACAGAGCCAGCTCCAGGTTTATTCGGGCTGAACCATCTCTTTGTAGCACTAAACAGCGATTTACTCATTCCTTTTTTGTTCGACACTACATCATTTAACATCACCAAATGTTTCTCGATATATGGCAACAGACAACTTCTTGTAAATTCTAATATTAACAATTTGATTTGCTCAACATCTTCAGTTGACAAACAACCACCATGTGGTATTTGTTTAACTGGAACTTTGGGTTTATTTTCTTCGACTGCACAATCTCCCTAGAATACAACTTATTTTTCTATTTCATTTAATTTGAAAAATATACAGTGGAATTCCTTGGTCAAACGATAAAACAATCAATAAATAAACGATAAACAATAACTTTTACCCTCGAAGCAACGGACACAAATATTATAATTACTTACTAAAGAATCCTCATTAACTGGACTGAGAGGGTGGTAATTTTGAACATTTTTAATTTCTTCTGCTTCTTGTCCTACTTCCAATAATGAACCTTTTGAGGAAGTCGAGGCATTATCTTGACTACCCTCTTTCATATCAATTTGATTTGTAATAAATTGACTCCAAGGGTCTGGTAAATGCTCAGACTGCACAGGTCTAGAGGGCCTCGAGTTCATTCTTAATAAAAAGCAGTGAGGTGCTCCATATGTAGACTTTATCGATTCAAACGAATTGTTAGCTCTATAAAAACAATTAATATTACATGTATGGAAAAGTCACATTTTATTTAGTTACTCACATTGTAAGGTTTCCTTCGACATTGTCATGAACGATAACATAATACTTGAGTATGTTTGAACTGAACCATTTTGGTAATTTCCCAGGTGCTGAAGTTTGCACTTGATTTAAACTTTGCGCTAATTGGTTAAAAGTGTCTGGTGGATTGTTATCGGTGGAACTTACTACTAGTAAGCAAGCTAAAAAATGTTTAGTAAACTCATGATCTGACGGATATTGCACCCTTAAAAATGTATCCCTCCAGGCTTCAAACCAAGGTGTGGAAGAAGGGATTTCCAGTTTATAACTTCCTATTTGAAATGTTTTACTTCTGCTTTCGGTAGCGTTGCTCACAGATGAATTTAAAAGCTTTCTAGCTAGAGGTGTTTGGGGTGGCCGCCACGTTATATCCAAAAAAGTAAGTTTAAAATTACGAATATTTACAGGACCTGTTATGTCTTTATAGTGCACTGGAAATAACAATTGAGGTTATACTTTACAGATTAAAATGTCGATACGTACCATCACTATTGAGTCGTGAAAATGGTTGTAATAATTCTATAAAATCCAAATTGTTTTTCTGGCAGCATTTCTCCGCTAGGGGAGTGCACATAACTGCAATTTGGGGAGTAAATGAATTTCTGATAAATTCATGTGGGCTCTGCTTACATTGTGCCATATTAAATTTGGGCGAACTCTCCCACTGTTTATTAAAATTATATTTAATGTGCACTACAATATCACAATTTAATTCTCATTATCAAAATACATTTTATCTACAAAACTTTGACGTTTACTATGTGATTTTTAAAGAAATGAACATAATCTACTCGGATGTCCAATGCATAAGCAAAATAGAAAACAGCCGTCTTCTTCTTCTCTGCTTATTTAAAATTCATACCAACTGCTGAAAATAAATTCCTTATTTATTTTCAACTGATCTAAATGACCAGATCACGTACCATTCCTGGTTCAATAAGCAACTATAAAAATCAATAGTAGTGTGCGTATAATACGATAGAATCAGGATAGTAGAGCAGAAAAAAAATACTTACTGTCTGAACGATTTTCCACCTTCATGTTCTTTCTTTTGACTTATACAATAAATGAAACGTTTGAATTTATTATTCTCAAGTCAATTTGATTTAGCATACAAATAAAATACTTATTAAACCATACTGTTAATTTCCTCAGTAATATTCACACGTAATAGTCGTTATAACAAAAGCATCTTTCGTTGTTTGATCGATTTCTTTTTACTTTAGTGCCGTATATGACAAATTTATCTATACGTGGCAGTAACAAAAATAATTAATTTTGAAATTTCTTGGAAATCATATACTATACCAGCAGTCTTCAAACTTTTATGATTTGCGGAACCCGGCCAACATTTTAATTTGTTTGAGGAACTCCCACACCTTTCGAACACATTTTTTACTAATTATGTAATATATTTATAAATACTATGTACTATTAACCAAATAAATATTCCACTTAATGCACTAGACTTTAAAGTTTAAAGTAAATATTTATTGGATAATCAAAAAAAGAGTAAATACTCGTATAATCAATGACTTGAATATTTTTACACAATATGTTGAAATCAGTTGCTATTATCGTAAGTTGCAATCGCATTTCAAATTGTACATTAAGCGCATTGCATTTTTGGCTGTCGCGGAACCCCCAGAGGTAGCGGGGAAGGCCAGGGTTCCGCGGAACACAGTTTGAATACCGCTGTACTATATGAACATTATTAGGACATCTGTAAATTAATCTTTAGATTAACAATGTTCACAACCGAAATATTAATAGAATTTTGTTATAGCAAAAACTAGCTCCGTTTTATTTTTTACTCAGATAACAGTTAGTTTTGGTCTGTACAAATTGACAATAATATCACAGAAGAACAAAGTACACATAACGCAAATTTAAAAAAATATATACTTTTAACCCGTTACAATATCCATATGTTGCCCGATTCAGTTAGTAATTTTATCATTAAAACTTAAATATATTTTACATCGTGGAATGGTTTTTAACCGCGCAGACGTTTCGATGCTGTCGCACCTTTTTAAATTTTGAAATAAGAAGAAAAAGTTGTTGACTGAATCAGAGGCAGAATTAATAAAACTCAAAAATATTTTGGCAACTAGTCGCTGAAAAACAAATTACATTTAAACATTTTTGTACCTCAATTTGAACAAAACCAGCAATTTAGGATTTTTTATAACTGCTTAAAACTAAATAGAAATTGGTTGTAATAAAATACCAGCCGATGGAAAAAATATAATTTTAAAAGCAGAAACAAAATCCTGTAACTTCTAGTCACAAGGTAGAATAGATTAATCGTAATAGCACTGCTGCCACAAGACCGTTTCAAAAATTGCAATGTAATTAAATAAGTATGCATGTTGGAATAATTCTTACAAAATAACAAATTCAACATGTATGAAAAACAAACAAATAGCATTTATTAGACAAATAAGTTCAACAAATTTTAAATACAAATAAAATAAATTTAGAAATCAAATGGTCTCATAGAAAACAAGTGTATAACCGTAAATACATAATTTAAGTAATTTCTAAAAACATTTACTTTTATATATTTATTTATTTCTAATGAAACAGACACGCCAAGAATGAATGAAGATGAACGTTTTAATATTTAATATAATGTAATATAACACCGTGTACTTTATAAAAAAAAAAAAATATGAGAATGTCAGTGTCACATTTACAACATCGGGAACTAATGTCAAGGTATGATATCATCAATATAATGTGCAACATTGTTTTACAATGAAAATTACATGCACGTAACATGCGACTATGTTTCCTGAAAATATCATGCACTGTTAGTCACTTGTTTTTATGACATTTTGGCACAAACGACACTAGATAAACAATCAATGACCTCTACAGCAGTATTTTTTTATATATATATATTAGTGCTAAATTACGGGATTGATCAAACTATACTTCAGATGCCAAATATACGAATTTAACTAAGCTTTATAAACTAGATATTATATATTGGGCAACTGATGTATAAGAAAATATACACAAAACATTGTAACAAACAATTTTATTTGGTTTAAATTCAATACATCATAGATAAATAAATGACAGATTAATATTGCACATGATTGAAAAAATGCCTTTGTCAAATGGACGCGATTGCCGGGAATCATATTAAAATTAATGTGTGCAAATGATACAGCTAACATTAAGATTGGCTTGCTACAACAAAATATGACTATATATACATGATGTAGCTGGGTATTCGTCCATTTAAAATTAAGGCGACAAATGTACCGCTTAATATTAATAACTAAATAAGAGCGTCAACCGATATGTGAATAATAAAAAAAAAAAACAATGTCAATAAAAACAATTAATACATTGACAATGAATAACTTCATCGGGAACATAGAAAAAGCGATAACAGTAGTGCAGTGACACGGAAGCCATTGAGAGACATCGGAAAGGATTCTGAGGGTAAAGAAGGCACAAGCAGCGGTAACCAGACTGGTTAGCAACGAAATGCCATCCAGCAAAATTGTGTGTAGAATGGCGCAATACCCTGTGAATAGTTGACAAAAGTTATCCCAAACTACAACTTACAGCTCTTGCGCAATCAACCACGCAGTTAGCACCAATCATTAAATTAATTTTCAACAGTAAATAAATCTCAACTTTATAATGTACTCGCACAATTCGTCAACTTCAAATTTATAACAGGCAATAGAGCATTTCTCTTTGTTAATAACAGACAAAAAAATACTTCTAATTGTAACTTCTTACCAATCTAATTTCCAATAAAATTAAAAAATCTTATCTGTTTGCAGAGATAGATATCAACGATTAAAAAAAATTTTTCGCAAGAGGAAGAAAAAGTTACAAGCAGAATTAAAATTATTTAAAAGTTATCACAGATTACATTATCAGAAACTAGTGGTTTATTGTTAAAATATCCTCGTTGAAGGACATAAATAGTTTAACGAATATTCATCCTTATTTTCAGAGCGATGAGAGTTGTAGTTTAGAGATATTACCGCAGGCTTTTGAACATCAGATATGAACATTGAAGATGACTATAAAGCCATAAAATGATGTACTACACGAATAGATACGTACATACTGTCGAGGCACTGTGAGTAAGGCAATCCTACAGTAGTTCAGTGGAGATAGGGTCATCCGCGATTGCGGTATGCAGGTACGCGCACGCGGGAACACGGGGAAGCCTAAGAGGCCCCCCCGATATATAATAAATTTTTAAACTATGTGCAAGGTTTGTGCACACAACAGTATTAAAATATATGTATGTATATATAATAAAATTTATAATTTATATTTATTTATATAATTTACTTTGTGTAGGTCAATATACAGAATAGATGTACTCTGAAATCACAAACAAATTGAAAAGGCTACAGCAATGAACACTCTAGGTTCCTTGGGGAAGCAGTACTTTACATACATAACATTGACGGGTGAACCTGTGGCACCTCCGTTAACAGCCAGTGACAGAGTACATTCGATCAGGTTTGGGGAAAGCACCAATACGACACGATACATTACGATGATGATACATAACAAGAAAAGTGTCCTGCATAGTTCAATATGTTAGTGGCTGCATCCTCGCTAAAGTAACAAGTGTACATTTTTAAACAATATGCTATTTCTCTAAAAACATTTATAAAAAAGACACTAATAATTACATGAAAATAATGGCACTATATATAATGTATATAATAATTTTATATATACGTATATATATGCATATACTTATATATATGTATATACATGCATATACATATATATATGTATATATATATATAATTTTCTTTTACGATGAGAACAAAATGTTGGCGTCTGCACATATACGTATAAACGGTGAAAATATGTTTATATATATGTAGATATATATATACTCAATTTTATACGTATAAAGATACGTATACATATATTTATGCTTTGAACCACTCACCACACTGCTCGTTCCAATAAAAATCTTGTTTCTCTCTCTCTCTCTCTTTCTCTCTACAAAAATCATCTCTTCACTTGTAAATGACTATTAATTGTTAAAGTATTCAGTTCGTATTAAATAATTGCTCTACTAAACTTGTAGTTTATCACATGGATGACAATTGGCAATTAAAACAGAAAACACGTTTAGTACTCATCCACACGTTATCACTATGGCACTTAAGTGTCCTGTGCAGGTGTAGGTCACGACGGCTGAAGGCGAAGTCACCTCTGCAAAGGTAAAAAAACCATTCTCGCCCTAACTACTCTAGGACGGCCAATCTGTTAGTCTAGCCCGTTTATGCATCTGTACAGTATCATACTCGGAGCCACTGCTAGCTGGCCCTGTCGGCGATGGCAGGTTTGTGGGCGTGACGCTTCCTGGAGTCGGGGTGATTTGGCCCGCTGAACTAGGCCTTGGGTGGTGACTGTGCGTCAAGTTCAGGCTTTGAACGTGCGAATGGTGGACGGCTGTACTCAAATGGGGGTGGTGCTCTCTGGGTGGCGAGATCGGTTCACTTTTTATCTTCACTGGAAGTGGCGATGACGATGTGGGCGGTGGAGTGCTGCTGGATACTGCTAAGTGCGGCAGGCAGTTGCTATTGTGCGACAGGGAGGTTGAAATCTGGTGGCCGCTCCACGACATCGGAGCTAGTCCCATGTCAGATCCAATACTGAAGTCCTGCGCCCCGAATGAAGTCAACGCTCCGGGATAGTTTGCCAGACCTGGGGTCTGCAACGCCACAACGGGTGTGTTAAGAGTCGATTGGGTTCGATTATGCTGCAACAAAAACTGCTTTGACGTAAAACTACTACGCTTCAACAGATCAAATCTCACTACACGATTTAACGAAAAAGATCATAAAATACTTTCACTAATGTTCCCTACCGATTATTTTTATTATATCTGCACCACCTATTGCTAAGTACCGCAGATATAAGGAAAATTAAAAAACTGTTTATGTTTGTCAAATAAAAAAAATAATCAACACCATTAATTTGCCTAACTCAAGTCCATCTAACAATTCTCGAGAGTTGAACAACCTAATAAAAGGTGGGACATCATATCTAACTCTGAAATTTCTCGCTCAATACGGAAGTGTGCTACTTTTATCATTTATTTCATGTTTTAAAAAATTTCACCAATGTATAACCACCGTAATAAAATTTTTTCGAATGTTTGATGTGACAAACAATTTGTCATTTAGAGTAGGATATTTTTGACAAAAATTCAGTCGTTTGTTAAATGTGAATTAGTGCATTAACACTACTTTAACTTGTAAAAGAAAAAATCTCTTTAACCTTCTCCAAAAAATAGCGCACATGCCTCAGTTTGAAGGTCATCCAACTCTCCGGCATTCTTAGGCAGAGTTTATTGTGGAAACTGTGTAGTTTAAATTTATGATCCCAAATAAATGTCTTAAATCCACCTTTATACTCACTTCTGTATAAGAAACTTCATCTGTGGTGATGTTTGGCCCCAGAGGTGTGGGTATGACTACTCTTAAATTAGATCGTGGTCCGGGAGAATGTTGTTTGGGATGCTGTTTGGAGGAACTTAATCCTGGTCCTGGACTAGGTCCGGGAGAAGGCGAACCACCCATCGGGGACGCTGAATTTGGATATCCGTTACTCATTTCTAACATCGCACCGCTCGGATAAACAGAATCTGTTTCAGAAGAAGAGGGTCTAGGACTAATACTAGTGTGTGCCATTTGCGGACTAGACTGAAGAAGACCGGATTCGCCATAGCTTATGTTCACTGGTACTGAGACAGGCTGGGAGTAATTCGAAGAGCTCATGCTAACCTGAAATATAAAATTTCCCGTGTAATCGTTGCGAGTATTCAAGTGTAGTTTCACATTGTAAAAATGGAGGAATTATTACCCTTTGTCCGTTGATCTGATTCCTTTGTAACATCATTTGGAAATCCTCGTCAATTTTGCTATACTTGGCCTCCGTGCGGGGTGTCAACTGGTACTCAGTTTCAGGTTCGGGACTATCTGGACTCATAACTCCGTTCTTATGCTCCTTCTTGTTAAGTGCCTGCAAGTGTCAGTGGACCAGCTCATGGAGTAAAGCCTCTAGGGTACATACACACACCACACGTTCTACCTCTACCACACAACTAGCAATCTAAGGTTAGGGGATCAGTACTGAAGCAACAACTCGTGTGAATAACAGGCAAATGCAGCAAATCGATAACTTAGTAAATAATAAGCATTAAACAAAAAAAAATTAAAAAAAAGGAAAATAAAAACAAACGTGTTAGGATCAATATTTATGTGTAATATTAGTTCACAGTTATCGTATTTGCATGAGCCAAGTATTTGGCAAGTTGCTGCTGGATTTGATGTACCTCGATAATATTTTTGTTGGTGAGTGACTCGTGGGGCTCGTTGTATTCCGTGTACTTGAGGAGAACTTTGTCCATGTCCGTGCTGGCATACTGGTAAAGCTTGTTGCTGCTGCTGAATATTATCAGAGCTATTTCGCAGTCACACAACACCGATAACTCGTATGCCTTTTTCATCACTCCAAATTTTCGCTTGTTGAAAGTCACCTGCAATTCAAATTTAAATTGCACGCGATCATTTTTTATGTACTAAAATGTATTTATTTCGGTAATGCCCTGAATGCTAACAAAACTACCCGGACTGTTTTGAATGAGCTTCCCAACATACCCGATATGTCATTTATTGGCTGCATTAAAAAAGTCGAGATTAACATACTCTGCAGTTTGGTAAGCTCATTCGAAAAAGCGTTTTGCTTCACATGATTGGTTCCTGGAACGACCTTGAACTAAGTCTGACTGATCAAGTGAAAACACACTTTAAAAGCAAATTTTGAAATCAAAATAAATTTTAACTCAAATATTAAGTTTATTGATTAACATTACATTATAAAATGTTTAATATAATTTTGTTACGTAAATATTTAAGTTTTGGAATATGTTGTGTTCATTTTTAGTAAATAGTCGCACTGAAACCACGCCGTATAGGCAACCAGACATGCATAAATACACGAATTTTAAATATGGCAAATAATTTGTTTGTTTTTCTTTCATTGCGACATCCGTTATTATTGTTTATTACATTAACACGATAAATTTATTATTACCTTTCACAGAACTTCGACTTTAAATTCGAAGAAACTAAATAAAAAATAATTACCTGCCGATTCCGTTCGTCGGTAATCCTGGATATTTGTATTTTCTTGCGACCCATGGCAGCAATTTTGAACCGCTAATTTGAAAACCCGTTGCGAGTTACAGTGTCGTATATCGCTCAAAGCGATAGGGGAAAGGTCGGTTTTGCTGAAGCGTTACGTCGTTGTCACTCCTGAATGATCTGCAACAATTTTTTCCATTAGATTTGCTAGAGATACCTGGCTATTAAATCAGTTTGGCGCTTTAACTATCAGTAAACAACAATACATACATGGAAACATAACTTTATTGGAGCAGTGAATAAAATGATAGTAACATCGGTATACACGGAAAATTGTATGACATTTTAATTAAACAAAATTATTTAATGAAAAATCTTGATGGTATTTAGAACATGTACATAAATATATTATTTGATCGAGTTATTCGAAAAATGCGCGACAAAAATCATATTTCGTGACTTCTTGCATATACAAATAAGAAGTATAGAAATTAAATGCAGCTACAAGTGAGAGTTGGTTCCAGTGAACTTCTCGGAGAAGGAACACTGACCATCCCTTTGGAAATTTTATTTTATACGACGGTTTTGGGCTGACCCCTAGTTGTATTGATCTGGCCGGTCGGGCAGGCCCATTTTTCGAAATTTCCCCGGTCTGTGTCTATCTGATTTGAGCTGGTCATGCAGGAAACGGTGTAAATTGGAAGTAGCGACGGCAATTTGAAGAAAAACGGGGCACCCGCAAACATAGTGACCTGATTTTATACGAAGTATACCGACGATCGATCAGCAGGGCGTACAAGGCCGGCGCGTGGCCCTCCTACGTACAAGGGCGCTTTACCTGTATCGGAAGTGGGTAGAGGGTTTAATTGAACCTGCAACCTAACCCCATAATACGGCGTTCCTTCTACAATTACCAAGGCCCGCTGTAATTTATAAGGAATAGAATGACAAATACGGTTTAATTAAAAAAAAATAAAAACTAGTTTGCTTTTTTGCTAAAAACAATTTTTCAAAGAAAAAATAAATAAATAAATTTTATTTAAGTTAGCAAATGTAGTAAAAATGCTCTAAAAGCATTTGACGAGAATAAAAATCGATTTCCTTTTTGTTATAAATCTAAAAAATATATCTATTCCAAAAAAGGTTATTCGCATTAGGTATATACCGAAAATGGAGTATACTCTAAATTATTTATTAGTGACGTCTTCCGTTCATATCCAAACTTGCGCTAAGGTCCACGTAATTCGAGATGAAAAGTTATTCCCCGTTACATGTCCAAAATAAAAAGAACACTAATGTCAATGATCATCTTGTAATAACTTTTTCAAATGTTATGTTCAGTTCGAAAAAAATTGAAAATCAACAGAGCAATAATTTATGTCTAAACGTTCGTTGTTAAAAGCTATCGCAAATAATTTTAAATGGTTGGGTACAGTATTGCGCGAATTATACAAAATTGTATTTAATCTAACAATTTTTATCTAGGTGTACTTTCGTTACATAATTACGTTAGCGTATCATAAAAATCCGTGTATACCGTGTATTTATTTCTGTTAAAACCATATTATGTTGCTATTCAAGTTTCAGAATCCAAATAAATTATCCAAGACAGTTTGGGTTTTATTTAAACAAATTCCTTATCATATCTCTATAAAATCGCAAGACATAATCAAATTATTGAATTCTGTTAAAAATAGAATGCCTATACTATTTTTAAGAAGTCGATAAAAACCATTGTTACTAAATATAGTTACAAACATTGCACGTTGTTTGTTTTTAATTTAAAAATAGTAAAAGTAGCTATTTGTTGCCGCCTTATAAATTTATACGGATTTATTAATAAATTCCACACAGTTAAGTATAAAATGGAATGCTAAAATTAAAACCATTAAATAAAAAGTTAGCGACATCATGTTTTGAATGACGGATACGTTAATATAAAACTATTTAAAACAATCTAAGTGTGAAAATGAAGCTACTTGTGTCTAAGGAAAAATATCACAAGTAACCTAAAAATAAATTAAACAAATTCCTATAGGCCTTTAATTGAAAATGTTGACTCGGTTCTGTCGCGCAGAAGAGAACCTTTTTCTTAAAAGAATATTTTAGCATACATTTACTACCAGGGTTAAAAGTTAAAATAATTTGCATAGAGAGATAAGCCTGGAAAATATGCCGACGACTCACCTAACCGATCTAATATCCAATTCCAAACGAAAAAAACAAAACCCCTTCCAAACAAATCACAGCACTGTCCGAAAGAATTGAGCGTAAAGCGACGGAAATTCTGACAAAGTGTAGCGGTTACAGCGTACTAGTGAGGGGTACCAGTTACTCGGCACTCAGCAGCAAGCGAACACTACTGGGGAGGCACAGACGCGCACCACGCGTAGAATTACCCAAATAGCGACTCGTGCCAAGTTGAGATGATCCACCGATACCCGCCACCTCAGGACGCCCCGCATTGGTCGATACGCCGCCATGACGTCACGCGACGCGGCCAATCGCGGCCGCCGTCGGTATTTACGCCGTTCAAGTCAGCTGGCGCGGGTAACCAAGACGCGTGGGGTAAAGCCAACAGCATCACCATGCGTTGCCGCTTTCCGCGTCCCGGCACCTTTGCTGCCGGTGCCTAGGCAATGGCGCAGGCGAGGGGTCTCAAAATCGAAGAAAATCTCCACCCAGCACGTTTCGACCCCCTCGCAACCCGACGGAATGTTTGCAATGAAAAAATATCAAATATAAACCTACTGAAAATAATTTTTAGGGGATTAAAAAATCAGAAAAAAATTCAGTACTTCGGATTCGGAATTAGTTCACCTCGCAAACCGAAAGACTAACAAACCAACCAGCAAACATCTAAAGCCAGTTTTGATGACCGAGGACTCAAATTGTTCGTAAAAAATATAATTAAATAGAATAACCTGAATAAAAACCTGAGCAATATTTTAGTCTCTCAAAAAGCTAAAAAAATGTTTCCTCTGTTTACTGAGCATTTAAAAAGTATCGAAATTAACCATTGTGCCAAAAGTATCACACCTGGGTTATTTTTATTAAACTATTCTTGCAGAAATATCGCACTGAAAAACCTGAAACATAAAAAACAAAATCGCCACTATACAGGGTCGGAAAGTCCCCATGGTTCATCGGCCGTTACGTGAGAGCAATAAAGAAAGTCATAGAAATCCGTGCGATAGAGAAAGATGGCTATAATGAAGGCGTCTAATAGTCACCGCCCATTTCGCCTTTCCACAAATAAGATCCACTTCTTATTTCTCTATCGCACGGATTTCTATGACTTACTTTATCGCTCTCACGTAACGGGCGATGAACCATGGGGACTTTCCGACCCTGTATAGCGCACTTCAATTATAATGACGTTTCTATTTCAATTGGGTTTGATAAAAACGCTGCTATAAATTTTGATAAGGTTTCGAAAAATCAATTTTTCGAAACATTAACTAAAACTGAAGAACGTGAGTAAAGCGACATATATTTTTTACTGTTTGCTTTTTTAATAAAAATAACGCTTGACTGATATTTTTGACGCAAGGGTTGACTTGATTAATTTTTTCAAAAGAGGCACATTCTCAATAAACACAGGAAAAAATAAAAGTATGACACAAATAAATAATAATATGTAAAAAAACAATTTTAGCATTATTTTAGAAAGAAGAAATAATGAAAAGGTTCCTGTGATAAATCAAATTTTTTCTCACATATTTAGAAAACCCAAAATGTAAAAAATCAAGTAAAATTACTTCAAATTAATTAACCTGACAGGAAGGTTTCAGAAAATATATTATTGTTTTGGGCACGCTGTATGTATCTGTTTCTGATTTCTTATCACACGTATATTATCCGTTTTTATACAGTTAAATCACTTAATCCGTACTTTGCGAATTTGTATAAAGATAGTATCGCTACGTTGTTGTTTTATTAAACCTTTCAGTATCATACACACACACTCCTGATTCAATGATGTTGCGCAACCATTAAAAATGTTGAAAATTCCAACTTAGATTTATATTTAACATTCTATCAGACCATCGATTTTAGCTTTAGAAGGTGTAACTGTGTAACCAGCGTTTTGATTCACACTCCTACCATTCGAACTACTGTCTTGACGTCATATGCTCAGCCCTATGATTCTGTCATTAGTATTTAAACAAGTAGAAAGCAGCAATAGTTCATTTTTATTCATATTGAACGAGTTGTTAACAGTTAGAAATGATACGAATATATTTTACTGAAATGTAGGCATAGTTTTATTTGCATTAATTTTGCTACCCACTCGGTATCGCCCAAATAAAAGAAAATTATTAGGTGTAGCGGAGCGGAAAGCTTTAACAAAAAATAGTTCAAAAGTGAATTATCGGCATAAAAAGCTTTCAGTTGAGCTTTCAATATAATGAAGTTATTACCAGCTAATCAAAGTTCATTTTCAAAAAGCTTCAATAAATTGAATAAACGCCTACTTTTGACTTGGTAACACAAAAGTGCGTTGTTTTCTCGGAAAAGGAAACCTTTAACCTTGAACAGTAGCGCAACATATTTCGCAGTCATCGACAAATAAAAACCTCCGGACTATTGCTAATATCTGTCATTTAAATAAACGCATTTAAGATAAAAAAACTACAGAATTTGTTTGTTTCATTAGCTACAACCAACTACGGGGTAGAAAATTATTTAATTACATTACAGAATGAGGAAGGCTAATCAAAGTACATAAAGCTTAATTAGAATAGAATAAGTAATTTTAAAAACATCGAAATATTAGTACAAGTAGTATAAAAAGTACAAAGAGAAAGTATAAAATTCGAACATTTTAAAATACGTTTATTGGAAGTCTGTTTCATCCGAGCACCACTTTTTACCTTCAAATCTGTACAATATTAGCATTTCCAAATCGCTACGGTCCCTGCAATTCTTATTCGATGGTTTACCGTGTGTACAACAGGTCTACCGCATCATTCTGACATTGAGAATAATTTCCCTATTTCTACATGATAAAATCAAGTGACCATGGCCGTAGCCGCTGAATGGTTTAACGTCCAAAAGAGGAAGGGAAAAACAGTAGCACCAAGAATGTATCAAGAGTGGAACGACGATGAAAGTACTACCCGTAAAGGTGTTTCTAATGCGTCTACGCCTATGGTGTCCACTAAAAAACGCCATTC